GGGGGGAGGAGATGAGTGCTAGTAGCTTGAACGAGGGGATGGGGGGGAAATCTGAGATGATTGGATGGATACGCAGGCAGTCGCAAGAGCCCCGTTCCAGGGAATGAAAGAAATAGAGAAATGTATTGACTCTCCGCGCCATGCAGGTTGCAACTCAACCCACTACCCATCTTCACCCTAATCCTTTCAAGTCCAAGTGTATCCATCCAGGCCACCAGATCGTACACGAAAGACGCGAGACTGAAAAAAAAAACGGCAGCAAACACCCCCCAGAACCAACCATCATTCTTCACCCATTAAAAAAAAAACAAGAAAGAAAAAAAAAAACCCAAACAAACTCCCAAAACACAACAGATCATAATAACATCAATCCAGCCCTTTCCTCCCTCCACTGTCTGAAAAAACGATCAGCGAATACAAAGAAGTGCGCAGTGCTATTACGAGAGACAGAGAGAGAGGGAAGACCAAGCAAATAAAGACGTCAATTGAATTCGCAATGCTGCAGGACAGTCAATTACTATGCGTGAGTGAGTAGACTAATAAACCATAATATACTCCGTGCAACACAGCACAACAATACACATCTACGTTCACCACTTTGCTTTGACCAATATAAGCATTTATCCACCCCTTCCACCATTTGTACACAAATCCACGCCCCGATTTCACCCACCACCCATCAGCGGAACAGAGTTCAATTAGATCCATGCCAGCCCACCCAACTCCTAGGCATAACCCTCCAGATCTTTACCTCTCCACTCCTCAGATCATCCAACTTGAAGCTCTCTAGCTTGACCTTCTTACTTTCTCGCCCCTGCTCCCATGCCCGCACCTTCTTCTTAGTGCCGTCCCACTCAGCAACGACACCTACGTGATCTGGCCGTCCGACCTCCATGCTGTACTTGGCATGCATAGGTCCGTGCTTGCCTTGAAACTTGGTGTTGCGAAGCGTGATGATATCTCCGGGGCGAATCTCGTCGTTCTGTTGCGTTGAAGCGTTGGCGAGATTGCTATAAATGATGGCACCGTAAGCGCGGGTGCCGATGGGGAGGAGGGCGTCGGAGAAGGGCTCGAGCAATTTTTGGATGAGGCCTTGGGGTGTACCATCGCCGACAACAGTCTCCTTCTTAGAGTGAACGGCTTCGTAGATCTGGCGGCCGTATTTGTCGTGTGCTTGCTCCAATTGATCTTGACGCTGGCGCAATGGGGGCTGATCATGTCGTTGCTCTAATCGGGCCTTCTTGGGGTCCTGTGCGTCGAACTCGACGGTGATAATGGTTTGAGAGTAGTCTTGAAACAGGATAGAGACATGCTTGGTGACAACCTTTCCACTTTTCGACTCTTCGAAATCAAGGGCAATATCCCGTCTTCCCGAGAACACGGGTGGGATACCTCTAGGCTGCGTCCACCAGAGGGAATTTGGTGCTAGATCCACGTCGTTCGCTACAAAACCAGAGTCCATAGACATTCTGCCCAGTTCGACGGATCTCCTGCTTACAGTTCCAGAACGCGATAAGTCTGATGACTTTCGGCCAGATTTTCGACTGATCAATGGTGGCGGGGCAGGGGCTACTCTTTCCTGAGGCATATTGTATGATCTTGGCGGAGACGCGGAATAAAGGTCTTCGTCGCCTGTCATAGCCTGTTGGGGCGGTCCTGGAGGTGGCGGGCCTGGTGGAGGGGCTGTCTTAGGCCCTGCATACTTGTAAGGATCAAAATCCGCCTCCTCATACTCCCGCGGAGGTGGGACTTTAGTTGGCGGCGGAGGCGGCGGAGCAGCTCTAGGCATATCCACTGACTGCCGTGTTGTCGGCGGTGGTTGTGCGGGCAAGGGAGGAGGAATCGCACGAGGGGCAGCCGTTGGTGGAAGAGGAGGAGGGACTGAAGAAGGCGAAGTGAGCGGTGATCGAACATGAACAGTATCTTCTGGTTCTGCAGCTTTCAAGGCATCCTTATGAGGGGCGGTTGAAGCAATATCAGTATCATAGTCGGCCTCATATGCTGTAACCTCTTCCTCGCTTTCCTCCCGAGGGATTTTCATAGGGCGGTCACCAGTCGGCGCTCGCTTGATGCCAACTCCCGGGTGCGGTGATGACGGGGCTCTGTTTTGTGATTGAGAAGCAGAAACCCCACCTGGAATTGGAGGAGGTAGTTTGCTTAGACGCTTGTTCGTCACGGGGGTTGTAGGTGAAGATGGCGAGGGTTCCGATGCAAGATGCGACATTCCCCTAGCACTGGGAGACATTGGAGAGCCTGGTCCTTCTGAGGGGCGTGGAGGCGCCTGGGGAGTTTCTATCGGTGGTGGGATGTGCGCTGGCTTGTCTGTAGGAGGCATCTCATCGTCCGATTCGTATCCAGCACTGGGAGACATCAGAGCAGCAGGTAGAGCTATGGTAATTAGCTATCATTGCTCAAGGGGGTTTCTTTGACCACTTACACTCAGTTGGTGCAGGTGGAGGAGTTGGTCTTCCACCCGGAATCGGCGGGGCATCTCCATCATGCTCTGGTACTATCTTGGTCAGCCCGGGCATTTTACAGTACTTGAGTAAAATCTTACCAGGAAGAGGTGCAGTACTATCATGCGCAGGGACAACATCCTCGACATCCGGTACCTCGTCAGCCGGGCGAACCGCCGAGACAGGGGTTGTCTCTTCATCGTGACCGAGCTGCCTGTTGGCTTCCTCTGGACTTCGAACTCGTGACATCCCGGGCAAGGGAATCATGGGTACAGGAGGAGCTCGAGCAGTTTGCGACACATCATCCCGTCCATATTCCCCAGATCGCTTCTCACTTGTACCAGTGGGCTTCTTTTTCTTGGGTGGAGCCGGAGCTGGCATTGCCATCCCACCCCCGAATATGCCGTGCATACCCATTCCACCGCTCATCTTGGCCATACGAGCCCTCAACTCCTCCTTTCTCCGGACTTCGGGATCAACATCTTCGTCTTCCTCTTCTTCATCCTCGCCTTCCTCGGAAGCACCATCTTGCTCGCCAACGTCAGGCTCCCCAATTTGGGCAACTGGAGCACGGGCAGGTGCCGAAGGTGCCGGAGATGCTTCGTGTTTTGGCTTCTCATCATTGTCATCCTTGACAGATATTTGTTCTTCAGGTTCTTTGGTTACATCACCTACCCCCAACACATCGGCCGCATTGCTGTCCCCAAGAGATTTCTTTGGTTGAGTTGATGATCTGCGTGTTCGCGAAACATCCTCTCTCACGGATTCTACGGATGGCCTTCCAGACGTCTCTTCCGTGTCACGCCTCGCTGGTGTGCTGACCTCCTCGCCTTCAGCTGCTGCATTTGATGTGGTTCGCTTCTTGACAGGACGTTTGGGCTTCTCCTTCTTCTGTGCCGCCTCTGCATGCCGAGATGCTTGCTCCATTTGCTGCTTCTGAAGCAGCGCAATGCGCTCTTTCAAGCTAGTCGGCTTTGGCTGCTCTTCCCCATCGTTCTCGTTTGACGCTGGAGCCAATCCTGCCCGTTCCGCTTGTTCCTGGTTCTCTGCCTGGCTTGCCACAACTTCGGGATCCTCTTCACGCTTATAGATCTTCTGAACTGGAGGATCTCGGATAACCGGTACGTATGCATTCTTGCTGGGAGGCGGTGCGACAAAAGGCTTCTTGATGAAATTATTCGATCCTCCAGAGCTGAATCCGGCTGGCTTGAACGGCGCCGGGGGAGGAGCAGCCTTGTTGAAAGCAGCAATACGATCCCTGAACGAACCCCCACTAGGCTTCTCTACGACTGGCGGAGGCGCAGAAGGTTTCGAAATAGGGATGGGCTTGGAAGCAGCTGGTGGAGAGATTTCCGCTTGTTTTGGTGGGGGAGCACTCACGGCTTGAGGCTTGGGAATCGACGGAGGAGCCTCTGGGGCAGCGGCCGGGGTTTCGTGGACCTCTTGACGTGCCGGTTCTGGTTCGGGCTCTGGTTCGAGCTCTGGCTCTGATTCGTGGACTGGCTGCGGTGGGGGAGAGGGTTCGCGTGGTGGTTCTGGCACAGGCTCTACCTCCTTCTTTGGTCGAGGTGCGCGAGTTGGCCGTGGAGGCGCCGTCGGCTCGTACCTCTCCACAAAGTTCCTTGGGAATATACCCTCCTGTGTCACACCAGAAGCATCCACATAGTTCCCATCGTACCAATCATCATCCTCCACATTTGTGACGGTGATCATCTGCCCGAGGGGGAAGTGGAGGTCATCTTCGTGTGGAGAGGTGTATTCGTAAATAGCCTTGACTGTGAACGGCGGGCTCGACATTGTGCCAGCGGGTAACGGCAAAGATTGGATGTTTAGCCTGTTGATTTCCACTGATGTCGACGGAGAGTGCCCGGAGGCTACTAGAAGCTGGTGTGTTGGTCTGTTTGCAGGTTTAGGAGGGTCTGTACGACGGTGAACGGCAGACAGTAGGAAATGCGGGATGTTCGATGGTGTGGAATAGTGTAGGATCGGGTAGCGTAGTCCAGCGAGGCAAGTTCGACGTGTCTGAAGCGGGGTTATGGCAAAGAGGCAGAGAGGCAGAGAGGCAGAGTGAGTGAGTGGTAGGTGAGTGGTAGGAGAGTGGCTGTAGTGCTGAGATCTGGCGAAATACGTCAGCGCATGAACGACAACGGTGAAACAGCTGCGGCGGATGGAAATAGTATAGTACCGACCTACAGTATGGGTCTTGAGTCTTGAACCTTGAGGTTGTCCCGGATTACCAGACGGGTAGAAGAACGGGAACAAGGACAAGGGCAAGGGCAAGAAGGTTTAGACGCCGACGGTAGGCATCAATGATTAGATATTGATTGCACTCAGTAGAGATGCAGCACATTCAGTAGTGTCCGATTAATCACGGTATGGAGTCCGCAGTGGATTATGCTGATGCTGAAGCGGTGGAGGTTTAGAGATGGCTCGGGCTTAGCCTTGGGAAAGAGAACAGGGATCTTCATTTGATCGCTTCCGGCGTCGCAAGCAACGGCGGCCGGCGTCTCAATTCGCCGATGTCAACACATCCGGATTAAATCGGATTAACTCGGATTAACTCGAGTGGACATTTTCCTTTCAATGAGATCATACGGAGATCAGCCCCACCACTACCCACTGAAGCTTTCGCGTAGGGCTAAGGAAGAAGAGGGCTCATGTTCACAGCAGCGAGCAATCGAAAACTCCCGTTTATTAGACAGCTGCTGAGAGAAGCTAACAGCAAATAAATGCAACCCGCTGACCGCCACTCAATACTTACAGAATCACCAGACGGACGCCCTGAGCCAACAGCTAGCTCGATCGGGCAAAGCAAGGTCAGGTGCCCCAGACCTTCGACGACAACCTATCTAGCCACCCCATCTAGCTATTCGTACACATCTAGGACTTATTTTGCATAAAAACCACCACGACACTATTCTCCACACCGTACAGAGCACCGTCCAATACTAACAGCAAAATGACAACCGCCCACCCGCCCAAATCCATTCTCAAAAAGTACCCCTCCTCTTCCTCTTCGGACAAGTACAAAACAATCCAAGAGCGCAACCTCGAGGTAGCCCTCTACCATGCCAACCTCATCCAGCGCCGCAAAGACATCGAGCTTGAAATTCTCCTCGCCCTGGAATCCCTAATCGACTACCCACTCTCCCCTCCCACTATCCCCTCCCCAGCCTCCCGCCCCTCCCCCTCCGACATCGCGACATTCAGATCGCACCTCACGCACTTCACGCCCAGCGACTACGATGCCCTGATACACGAACGCAACATCAACCAGAAGTGCGGGTACGCGCTGTGCCCGCAGCCGCTGGCCCGTGACGCTGTGGGCGGCGAGTTCCGCATTCTGGGCATCGGGGGCCGCGCGAAAGATTTTCGCGTCGTAAAGAGGGAGGCGCTGGAGAGGTGGTGTGCGGAAGGAAAAGGGGAGAGTTGTAAGAGGCGCGCGATGTGGGTGCGGGTACAGCTGGAGGAGTGTCCGGCTTGGGAGAGAGGGGAGAGAGGAGGTGGAATTGGGAGTGAAATTGAGTTGTTGGATGAGGGGAGAAGAGAGGAGGAGGCGGCGGAGGATGTACTAATGGAGGGAATGGGAAGAATGAAAATTGAGGGTGGGGGAAGCAAGGTGGAGGAGAAGGAGAAGGAGAGGAGAGAACTGGCGCTTGAGAGGGGTGAGAAGGGCCTGGGGATGGGGGCGCAGAAGGGACTTGTGGAAGTTAACGTATTAGAGAAGGAGGTTAGTGGGAGGATGGTTTCGGCGCCTTGTCTGGCAGACGAGGAGTTGAGCGGGAGGTTGGAGCACCTCGCGCTCGAGGGTTACACTTCGAGGTTTGAGGGGCAGCAGAGGAGAATGGTGGAGATGGCGAGAGGCGGGGAGGAGATGGATGCGGATGCAGATGGGCCGGATACAGATTGGAAGTTTTAGAGTGCTCGTTCTGGATGCAGACCAATTTGACATAGTACAACGGCCTTACCGGAGAGTATTTGTGACATTGCGTTCGTCAAACACAACATCTCTTTACGACTTGGACGAGGTACGGCCTTTGGATTTTTCAAAATGGCTAGTTACCCCCAATATAAGATTCCTGCGGAACAGGACTCAACGATGTAAAGAGGCATGCCTCAAGTCACTTGATGTAGCCCTCAGATCAAGAGAAAGCCCAAGACCTTTCCCTACCGCAGTTAGCAGATCACAGGTTTCAACATTACCTTCGCAGCAATAACAATCTACCCTTCTCTAGCGCTGTCGGCGCATCGGGATACCTTTTCGCACAGCATCTCCAGTGAGAGATTCAGCAGCACCGTCACCGGTAGAGAGAGGAAGAGGAAAATGGCAATCAAGCGTCATCCCCGAAGGAAATCAGCGACACCTGGTTTTTGGAAGATCTCACATTGATCTAGTATGCATGTACCATCCATCCGGCAGTTCGTTGCTGCTGCGAACGCCAGAAAGCACCCAGACCTACGTCCTCCCAACAATTCCCAAATCCCTCGCAAGCAAATCGAAACCCGAACTTTTCGATGGTACGTCTATGGGCGACCGGGGCGGTCATTGAAGCGGCGGCGGGGCTCAACAGCTTGTTGTTGCGATACAGCGACGACGCTGACGGGGATGGAGTCGAACTATACAAACTTTATCAATAAGAAGTTCTCCTGGAGCTGAGGAGAAAGGGAAAGGGACGTACACCAAGGCTCTTGAGCAGGTCCTTCGTCTCCGAGTCAATCTCGAGCTGTCCGCCGTTTTCGTTCTGGGAGAAATCGAGAGCCGAAACCTCGGGCACGTATTGATCCTTGCGCTCACGCTCCTCTTCTTGGAGCTTGAAGGAGATACCACGGACGGGACCACGCTGGATGCGCTTCATCAGATGGGTGGTGTAACCGGCAATCTATTTACTCGATATCAGCACCATTTTCCCCACCAATGTTGTTCCATGTATTCCAAGTCTTTCATATTTGCTCGGAGATCGGAGAGAGGCGGGAGAGGTCGCACCTTGTTGCGGAGACGCTTGGAAGCAATGATGGCAATCTCATCGCAGATTCTCTTGTTGGTCTCGAAGTCGAGGGTCAACTTGGGGTAGTATCGCTCAATGATGACCTTGGCGGACTTCTTGACAGTCTTGGTACGAACGCGACCCATGATTGCGGTTGGGAGGTGGTGGTGATGCTGGTTGTCGGAATTTGGAGTTGTCGCTGGATTCAGAAGCCTGAAGGAGAATTTCGTGGAGGGATATGGTGTGCGGATTCTCGCTTAATCTGGGCGGTTTCTTTTAGCGTAGGACTGACAATGGTCACGTGATATGTGAGAAACACCACCCTTGATTACTCACCAAGTGTGACCACAAGCCATGGCTGTTGCAACATTAGGCTCAACCATGGCAGCGTCCGGAATTGAAAACAAAACTCACGGTTGAGCCAAAGAATAAGTTGGATTACAACAAATATGATCTGTAGTTATGCCTCTACGCTGATTTGCTAATATCCTCTCGCGCTGAACGCACGGTGTTCACAACTTCAAAGGAGCACCATGATACTGGCGTCCCCAATAACCAAGCCCCCAATGTCCATCCTGAATATGATAGAATCCACCCCAGCAATTGCCAAACGGACAGGCATATTCCAATGCCTCCTTCACTACATACACCAAGCCTGCCTCGATAACCAACCAGCCGTGAAATAAACAACAAACATCCAGTCCATCCATGAACTCAGCTTCCGCTTCTGTAATCCGTATCCTCATCCTCAAACTACGCAATTGGCTCTCGATCTTCAATGCCCAATTCCCGCACCTTCACTTGGCTCATCTTGACACCAGGCAGCAAGTTCGACATACTGTCTGCAGAACCCGGGACAACGTAGGATACATTCCAGCATCTAAGCTGCGACCGGCAATACATCTATGGCCTTAAAGACGCACCATCTATGACAACGACAACGACGACGGTGGCTAAAATGTACATGTTCCGTCATTCTGGCGATCAGAACATCACGCGCCGTGCGTATAAAATACCGTTCGGTTCCTATTCGCTGACCTCTGAGCAAGACTCCGGGCTTCGCCGTTTGAGGAAAAGAAAGATGTTGGATATCCCGCTTTTGAACCAATTACACGGAGTGCTAACAAACGGTGTCAAGTCAATACGAGAATAGAATTTAACAGAAGGTTTGGAAGAATTTTGAGCGAGTGCAAAGTTGCAATTTAGTTTAACGATTGGGTTCATTCCATGGGGCCTCTCCCCTTCTCTATAAGCACAACCCCTTGGTTCAAGACCGGTGGATTAGGATGCTGGGTACAGTGAGTGCCATTGTAACGAGGCCTGACCCGGTGTCAGCCTTCAGGACATGTTGACATGGGCCAGGAAGATATACCATTGAAAATCGAATGAATGAGAAATATTCGAAGCAAAAGGAGAGCGGAACTAGCAATTTTGTTTAAACGCAAGCCTGAGAGATAAAGCCGAATGCCATAGGTACAGAGTATTGTGATACTATACATCGTCGTTACTATACTACAATTCGACCAATCATTTCGAGGATTACTCTACTCAGCCAGCCACCTTAAGACAAATCTGACAGCCCTTCTACCTGACTCCTTGGGGAGTCTCTCGGTCTAACCGGTTCTCGTCTAGGAGCATCATCAACGTCCAATGTTAATCCGTAGCCACCATCTCCTTGCGGGGCGGTGCTGAATGTACCAAAGCCTTTGCGAGCTTCTGCCGATAATGTGCCCGAGAGTTTCGGGATCTCAAAAACCGCAGACATAGCACCCTCAGTCCCTTCTGCAACAGCGACGGCCATAGGATCAGCATCCGCAACCGTCAGAATGATGCGGCCCTTGGGGTCCACGTGAGCGTAAGATGGCCGGATCCAGATCTTGGTGCCCCCCACTTTCTCCGGCTCGATATTTTGTAGGCCAGGGTGGACCTTGGGCATACCTCTTTTCGGGTTGCGCTCATTGACATTGAACGACGCACTGTCCCTTGGGACTTCGGTCACGAATCCTCCAACACCCAATGCAGCACCGAAGCCTCCGGTGGCCGAATTTTTCGGCTTCACTACACGGGCCTGGACAGGGCGGTTTTCCTTCTGTGGACCGTGAAGAGGATGGTTGTGTGTGTGGCAGCTCGTCAAGCCGTAAGCTAGCCCTGCTGACGGATGCGTCTTCGGTGGCCCAGTATTCGCATACGGAGAGGCGGAAAGAGGGAGATCGTTGGGAGCCAAAGTCTCCCCAGGACGCATCATATCAATCATACGTTCAGTAACCTCGCGGTATCTGGCAGGCGCCGGCGGTAGGTCCAAGAAATTTCTGATGAGCTTGTAAAGTTCAGCACGGTTGTTGCGAAGAGATCTGACAAATTCAGTAAGCTGCTCCTTAGTTATGTCCTCTTCTTTGACCGCAGCAGGTACATCAACCGCCCCTTCCGCTGCCGCCCGCCGTGCCTCTTTAGTATGAGCATTCGCGCATGCAGTTTTGAGGTACGCCTGAAACTCCGTCTTCCGCTTTTTAACTCCTTCCCGTAAAAATTCGTTAAAGTCTCCCTCTGTCTGCCCTGCCAGCCATGGGCCTTTGAACTTCCATCGGGTGTCTTCCCTTCCTAAAACGCTGCCGTCAGACTCGGCAATTGAGTCCATTGTTGATTCAAAAACACTAATCCTGCCCTCATCTTCGCCCCTGAAACTCCCTTGGTTTTTGCCCATGCGTATGGTGAGCGGTATGCCCATCTCCTGCCATTTCTGTAGCGTTATCGAATGGTCTGCGGCTGAAGCGAATTCGGTAATGTGCTCGAAAGTATCGATTGCCTCGACTCGTAGAAAAGGAGTTGATGATTTCGTAGTCGACCGCAAGGGTAGAGGCCGTTTGAAACCCCAGTCACCTTGTGCGAGAGATAAATGCGGTGTTGTGATGGTCTGGTGTATAGGGTGTGCAAGTGTTGCTGTATCGGAGTTGTTGACTCCTTTTGACGAGAGCTCGACAGCCGGGCGTGGTAAGGGCGGTGGGATTGAAAAAACCCTAGATGCTCGTAGAAGAGCACCTCCAGGAGAGACACTTCGAGAGGCCATGGTCCTGTAATTCTGAATTTCGAAGAAAGCTTGATCAAGAATCGATGTCGTGAGCTAGCGGGTCTCTCGCCCCGGCGCTTTCCCCGAGGGACACAGTCCAACCACCCAAAGCGATGTCCTTGAATGTAATTGCAATCAGCCGTGCTGCCAGCTGTTCCCAATCAGCACATCGACGGATGGCAGGTTGAGGGATGATGTGGGTGTCGGCGGCGGCGTTGATGTTAGCTTGAGGTGAAATTTGCCTAGGTACGCTAGCGGGCAGCCGCCGACCTTGCCCCACTTAAAGGTATATGCATGGAATATCCGTAGCGACCTGGCCCGGCTTTCTTCAAGGGAGATGTTACGAGTATTTCACTCTCCTTTTCAACATTGCAGATCGACTCTTCTCTGCATTTTAGTTGATAATCGAGAAGCTGCTTGCTGAACTTCTCAGGCTTCGAGCTATGCTCAACAGCATTGCACTATTCATCACGCTATCTATCAGCTGTTGGTTTGCACGCAAGTTTTCCTTCATCTTGATACCATTCGGTTCTACTATATAATGAGTTGGAATCAAAAAATACTAGGAATGAGGCCACTGATAAAGTTTTCCGCCTTAGACAAGCCATGTGCCGTTACCACAACCAAGAGGCCGAGCTGGCTTCGCCCAAAATTCAACTTGTTCAGGCTATCCTTCCATCTTGACACACCACTTTACTAACGCCAGTAACTCTTGTGGACTTTCGGCTCTGACTTTGTACAAACATACTCCCCATTAAGGAGCGGGTGCCATCTCCATCACACGACAAGGCCTCCACGACGCGATAATGTCCGCCTCATCAACCCCTCCCGTCATCAGCGAGCAACTCCCCGAAGGTCTCAAGATCTACGCTCGAGTTGGAAAACATGCAGAGCGCTAGGAAGCTGACCAGTACTTTCCTTCTAAGTTCCGCTCTGCTTTCCATTTTTCACTGCTGAAGAGTGGTCTTCGGCGGTGTGTAACGAGGGCTAAATTGGAGGACAATAAAGTTATTTGTGGATATCTGTCATGTCTGGTCAGGATCTCTCGGCCGGTGTATGAGACGGTATTGGATGGTCGAGCGCACCGCTGCTATTGCTTTCCCAAGCTTGAGCCTCGAGCCACGGATGAGTCCAGGCGAACCTCACACGATACAGATCTCGGATCATCCTTTCTTGCTCCTCAATTGAACGGCATACCACTTTGACCCAGTCGGTTACAATGCCAGTGTCCCATTGGATCTTACTTCGCATTTCATCCGAAACCTGAATAGATACCAGCGTTGAGGTTGGGTTGTACGGTGCGACAACCATCAGAATCTAGGATCGAACGCTGTTAGCACGGATTCGTCGGAAAAATTGAAAGAGGGTATGCTTTTGAAAAAGAAAGGGAGTAGACTTTTTCCCTAATGGCCTCACTCCATGTGAATCCTGACAAAAGGACTGCCGGGCGAAGTGTCGGAGGATCGTTCTTGTCTCTAAAAGGCGCGGACGCATGGCCCAGTCTGACGTTTTGGTTTCCTCGCACCGTCTTCTTGAGATTAGGATGATCTTCGCTATCCAGAAAGGAACTCTTTCGCTTCGTGGGTTGAACGGTTGCTAGGTGTACATGATCGTATTTGGAGGGGTAGCGTGGTGGTGAGGGTGGCGGAATTTCGGTAATTTTTGGCCGAATCAAATTCATGTTGTAGCAGCGCAGACTATCAAGCTTTATAACAAAGGATCAGCTGCTCGGGTCTCCAATCCATTTGAAAAGGCCGCGTTTTCGAGGTTTCGGTTGTAGCGAGGAGAGCGCAGCATTGATAGAAATACTCATGAGGTGTGACCTCTAATCTCCCATATAGGTATAGCCTCTTGGCTACACTGGTTATATCCTTAAACAGGGTTTGCACTTGACAACGTCGACCGTCGGAGAGACCTTGACCTTCCCAGCCCTTATCCGTCAGCCAGCAGCTACGCCTGGAGTGGGAAAGCCAACTTTCGTAGACGAGGCGATCAACATTCTGGAGATGGATTGATACCCCAGCGCTGTTCTCGCTGTTCCCGGCGAATGGTCTCAGATCCTCAGCCTCGAGCAAGAGAAGAGAATAAATATCGAACTGGGGCCGGTGGCCGAACCCGCACTGCTCTGATCTCTTGATGAGCATACTCTAAGCCCTCGAAAAGGATGTAAACACGTATTCAGCTAACGAAAGTCGATCGAGTCTAGATAAGGCGGTCAGAAAGCCTGGTCAATGTGCGCATTTGCTGCGAAACTGGCCTCAAATGAACCTACAATGTGTACTATCCCATCAACCTTCTCCGATTCCGTTCGAGGAGTTTGACCGCCTGTGGTTTCTATTCCCTGCAGGCAAGCTGCTATAGTTAGAAAAAGATAAGAAATGAACGGGCTGCGGGCCCGAAAAATGTGAAACGCAATCAAGTAAATTTTCTTTTTTATTGTTTGTTGTTTGTTGTTATATCACTTAGCTAAGCGAGAGATGACCTCGAACGAGGGGCGGTTTGGCATGCCACAAAGAAGTATGATCTGGAAACAGCATCGAAGGGTTCACCGTCCACGTATACCACTTAGGCTAGATTATACCCCTTGCTAGTATCGGTGCAATTCAAGCCACCTAAAAGCGAGCGGTCAAGATTTCTACAAGTCACGAGATTTGCTCCACTGGCCAGAGTCAGAAATGTAACTTGCTGGGGAGCATCAGTTATATATCGAGGTCGATTACATACCTGATCGTTCGGATATCCACGTTTTCCGCTACGATATTGGAGCAGGTCTGGTTGCTAGAGCATACCAGGTGGGCCACAATAGGTGCAAACACTCGGTTCGTACGACCCCTGATGTTCTTGAACGTCACATCAATGATCTCTAGCTTTGACTACGGACGATAGTTATTCAAGCAGCTCTGGTCTTTTGAATTTGAACGCAGAAAAAACATACCGGATGTTCGAAACACAGGGTTTCGTTATCCTGGCCGTAGCACTGGGTGATCGTAAGGCCGTAGTCGACGTTGTCGAGCCACATACCATCATATGTTACATTTCGCACCAGTCCACGGCCACCTCCGCCACTGAGAGTGCCTGACTTCTCCGAGTAGGCGTCGGGCCAGATCTTGATCCGGGCACCTTCTGAAGAGTTGTACATGTTGATGTTGGTCACGAGAATGTTCTCAACATAACTATCGACGAAGGATTAGCTTGCGGCATATCATGGTGGACTGCCTCAGGTGCAGATCCGGTGGCGACAAGAGATCTCGGTCGGGATAACATCTCTTGGTGCTGCCTGGTACTCACTCAACACGCTCGGGGTATTGCCCTAAGCTGCCCACCGAGATACCGTGAGTTCCATTGCAGCTTAAATTCCGGACGGTGATATCTGTGCTGTTGGGCTTGAAGCTAACGCAGTCTGCGCTAAATCAGCAAGGAATTCGAGGAAAGAAGGTTGTATCGTAAGCGACAACATACCGTCGCCGTTAGTGATCGTCGAGTTCTGGATGAGGATGCGGGTGGAGCGGTAGATATCCCAGCCGTCGGTATTCTTCTCGAAATTCCGATTGTTGCTGACGGAATACAATCGCATATCGGTATACACCACATCGCTCGAGTTGGCGATGATATTGTGCCAGAACGGCGACTGGGAAAGACCTAGGTCCGAGATCGAGCCACCACGGAGGCCGATCGTTGCAAACAGGATGGGTCGATTGGTTCTCTTCTCCGCGGCGAAGGCATCCCACCATGTCTGACCATTGCCGTAAATGGTCCCGCCGCCGTAGACGTTCACATCGTTTCCACCTAGCATGAAAAAGCTGGTCGCATTCTGGAAGCCGAGCTGGAAAGCGCTCTTTTGCCAGTACGTTGTGTCATTCGTAAACTGGATGTTGCCTTGGATGTCCAGGTCAATGGCTGAGAGATCTGTCAGGTTGAGCGGCTTGCCGATAATGTATGTCGACCTCTGCAAGAAGATTACGTGACCCCCATCTTTGCATTCCGTGATAGCTGAGAGTATGTATTCCGAGTCGTCAATCAACAAGTCATTATGACTATTGACAACACAGGTCTTGTTCCGTGGTGGAGAAAGGCGAGCGGTGAACGGACGAGTAGTTCTGAGGTTTTCGAAAATAGGGAACTGAGATATGCTAGAAGCAAAAGTTAAGATTGGAGCTGTGCCCAGGAGCAGAAGCATATAAAATGGAAGCATTTTAAAGTATGCTGATTATTTGAGGACTTTTCAACGCTCGTAAAGGATCTCTACCTTGATATATATATACATTTGCTTCAAAATTACCCGCCTCCGCTCCATCTGAGCGGATCCTAATCTTTCGCTGAAAGATGCCCCGATGTAACAATTCCCCTTTCTATGTATTGGACATCCCACGAATCGAATCTTCGTAGTTTTCACATCGTGATTGCAGGTATGCTAATCTTTAATCACATTTTTAACACCTCATCAACGCTACAACTTTCTATCTTTTCGCTGAGCTCTTTTTGGCTTGTATCTACGTCTTCCTGATATATCTAGCTCAATAAATTGCATTTATTTTGCTTTCTACTACTTGCCATACTCGTGGGAAATCTTTAGTGGGGTCCCGATCGGACCAGATGCGGGGTATCTGCCAAGCGTCTATTCATACGCTGCGAGGAAAATGAACTATCCAGAGGTCGCAAAATGGGGACAGAGGAGTTTGTCAGTATCGAGAAAGATGAAGCTATTTAGAAGTTCTGACATTCTGTCAAATTTGCAACGTCATAAGAAGGTGCCGAGCAAAATGGGGTGGGGAAAAGGGATCTGGCGTAAGAGCACGTACAACGTAGGATATTTTTGGTGTAGAAAGCCCATAACCCAAAGGTCTGCTGGCAATCCTGATAAGTGATACGCTTTGGTTCTGGGTCTCGAAGCTAATCAGAATATTTCTTATACCAGTTGCCTCCAGGAAAATTCCCGTTCCGCATAGTCGTCTGGTGCTTGTTGTGGTCCCGAGCTAAGCGAGCGAGAAAAGAGGAAGGAGGTGCTACGACGACTGGAAAGGGGATCCTATAAAAGATGCAATAACAACATCACTTACCTGTAATTTCTCGCGATCAATCAAAAGCATATAACCTCGTCGTGATGGATACAAACCGCTATGGTACTTAAATGTAACTTCAAGCGGAAGGTTGATTGAAAGAGATACTGTCGAGGACAGATCGACTGTCAAATACATAAAATGCTGCCAAGTTATTAACAGCAATCCTTTACTTACTATAGATTCAGACAAACAAACGCTTTGCCTTTTATTTCGCACAGCTGCGCAGTAATCCCGCCGCTACATTCTACAATTCCATCAAATCATTTTCCCCTCCCTTCCTCTTTTTACCTTCCAAAGCCTATCAATCCCAACAAACGCGCAATCCTCCATTCCACAACCCAATTTCACAGTAGGGCTCGTTGGTCTAGCTCAAAACATACCTTGAAATATCTACAGCTTTTCCTTACTTACCAATCCCAAAAGGGGTGAGTTATATAACAACCCTTCCGCTACGCTACGTCTGGCAGAAACCGTGAACATGATGATCATCGCCATCTATTCAATCCATTCCGTTCCGTTCTATTCCATGATCCTGAAAACCCACAATATATAAGCGGGTAGTGAATCTGCAAATCGAAATAAGAGACCAAGGTGAACGAAAAACCGGATAAGACAAGCTCTTAATTTCAGCCCCGAGGATATACATACATATCATGTATGTAAATTCCCACTTCCTGAAAAAATCCGCACGCAATAGCTCTAACAGACTCGAGAGGGATACATCCAGCATATAAAACGATTAAAGAGTGCATACCTAGCTCTCGCTATCAACTAAAAGGCTTTGAATTTTTTTTTTTTAAGAAAATTTCGCCGTCTATTCTTTTAATATGCCGTCGGCTCATTCATTCAGCAGCGGGGGCGGGGAAGCTTATAATGGCCGGGTCGCAGGTAGGATGGAGATTTTCTGATTTCCATTTTTCTATGTCCTTACGGAGTGTTTTCTGCTGTCGATCGGGGACTTCACTTCCTTCTTCTTCGGAAGGAAGGAAGGATGGAAGGAGGGGGGCAGGCATTGGTCTTGGCGGACAGGACAGGACAGGACAGAAAAAAAAAGCGTGAGTGAGTGAAGTGTGAGAGCTTCATGGCGATGATGAATCGTCTGAGTCTAAGAAACACAAAGAAAATATATAAGTTTATATATATATATATAGATATATATATATTACATATAAAAAGCTTTCGGAAAGACGAAGGAAGGAAAGGCAGGTAGGTGTGTGTACCTTCTCTATAAAGCTTAAATAGGGCTGAGATAACCAGGTCCAATACTTCGTAGATACATGTACTTGAATGAATAGATCGTAATGGTTACCATGTCCGAAAAACACCTACCTATCTACCCACCTGCTTATTGTTTCATGTATGTATGTATTTTTTAAATTTTATTTACGATAAGCGGGTTGCAAACGATATGTAGCTTGCCGCTTTAGGACCGAGGACCTCCCATGGGGTCCGGAGATGTGCTAAGTTAGAAAGGATGCTTTACATACAAGAAGGCCCTACTAGAAAGGAGTTCGAGCTGCCCACTTGATGTCGTATAATTGCTTTGGCAACCTTTCGTTCAACAACAACAAGAACAACCCCCTCTCTTCTCCTCTTTCCAACCCATCGCAAAAAGAAATATTTCAACGCCCATCTCGCCGCACTTTCCCAAGAGCTATATGCAGCCTCCAAATTTTTGCCTGAGTATTCGAAAATGGGAATGGAGCGACGATACAGTACAGTAAGCCGGTCTAGCTCTCGCTTACCCACTTACCTTACGATATGATATGCATTATGCCTACATCCTACTTCCAAACCTCTTGTTCACTCTCTCCGATGCTGAACCCCGCTCGGAGGTTTATTGGGCAATCGCGCCAAATATTATAGTATGCGTTGATATTGCACTAGCATTCCTGTAAGACATAAGCTGAGGCCGAATTTGCGAGTGAGGTAGCAAGCGAGTGATGTTTGTGACTTGAGGAAACGACCATCTTTACGATTTCCAACATTACAAGATGCTTGGTCTTCGGATCGTTGATCGTAGAGAGAGCAGAATCGTCTGGCACGATAGATCCATCTTCGGTAATAAGTAAGACGGAGAATTCTTTTCGTAAGTGCTGAATCCGTCAATCTTTTAGGGCGCAAGGATCATAGCATAAATGCAAAACGAAGGCAGCTCGATATTCTGTAATAAGGAGAAACCGAGAACGGCTAGCTCCTATGCATGCCATCTTGTCTGACGAAGAAGTCATGCAATATCCCGGCTGCTAGAGACGACGGACGCTCTTCTGCACTCTTGGGTGCTGCATGCTCACAGCAGCACCGTTTTGTGATCGCCATTTCACTTCTTCCCTGCTGCAGATTCACCTGTACCCCCAAGGTGGAGGATACGATATACAAAAAAGGATACGAGAGATGCTGTACCTTTCGTACTTTCTCGAGTAGCACGGAACGTCATTCGGCGCGCCGTGGTGACCGGGCAGCATTGGTCGAGAGTAATTGCTTCCGTGGAATTCCGTTATAGTGCTTCTGGTATTAGCAAGGGAGTGGGATCAATGTCCTGTTCTTCAAGAGCATATTTTTTTTCTTTCTCGGGGCGTGTAAAGTGGCGATATCTTAGTCAGGACGCATCTTGACGAGTTTGGGCAGCAAAAATGGGGATTTATAGTCCTCGCAGATCTCGCAGAGGTGGAAGAGAGGTGGGAGGTGGCAAGGTAGAGCTCATTCTCGGATTCTCCACCCACATACATGTCTTCCTGTCGGCAGCAGAAGCAGAAGGATAAAGAGACTTTTTCGTTCTGGGTGCATAAATGCATAAATGCAAGGGCGCTCTCGGACTTCCGGGCTCTACTCGTCCTGCATGATGAATAGCCCCATCAAAAATTTGGCCGCGAACCACGAGAGGCCCCAGGGCCGAGGAAGAGTGGGCTGTGGGCTGTAGCGGCTGTTCTGAAGGAGACCGCGAGGTTCGAGGTTCGAGGTTTGGTTGAAGAAGGCAGATAAAGGCAGATAGGGGGATCGGATGCCCTCTCGTTGCCTTTATTTCTTTTTTTCTTTCGCCGCCAGGCCCCAGGGTAAAGTTGTAGCGAGTCGGATGTTGACACAGCTGCGAGGAATATACTGTACTGTAGATCACAGATGAATTGATCGATGATTCGCTGCATCGCGTCTCTCAAAGATGCAGAAACTTTTTGGTTCCCTTGTTGCATTGCGAGAGGAGTTTTGCAGCTTGCCGCGGGATTCGAAATAAGCACGGATATTATCAAGAACAACCAGACGACCCACCAAGTTCGCAGGAGCAAAAGTTCCGGATCATACCGACTGAGCCAAGCGCTGGTGGTACTGATGTGATGGATGATGGATGATGGATGATGGTGATCTGGGGAGGGAGCTGGTTGGGGTGACGAGCGTGCGGCATGCAGCGTGCAGCGTGCAGCGTGCAGCAATGCGTTGATAAGGATTGGTCTATCCTGAGGCTCTTCAGAGCCAGCTGGACCATCATCACATTTCTTGTTTATCAGCCAGGCAGCAGGATTTTTCGGACTGACGCCGTCGCCCAGATGACTGAAGGTTGACTGACGCGGAATTCGTGGTGCCAATGCCTGTGGCATTGTCAAAGTCAATGTCAATGTGAATATCAATACCAAAAATGATATCGATATTGATACTAACATCAACACCAACACCAATGGACAGTAGACTCGTGTTGCCCAAGGAGGTGCCTTTGGTCTTTGGTTAGATCATCAGGGGGGCTGTGTCGTGCCTCTTGTTCCCCATTCAATGCATCCGGTTCAATTATGGGTGTATATAGATATATACCTATGTACCTATTATATACCTGTATATATATATATATACATATATGTATATTTCACCTCGATCAGATCATTCAACTTCAGGAATCTCACATCATATACTTATATACCTATACATATATGTGTGTATATTTCATCTCCATCAGATTATTCAATTCCAAGAATCTCACATCCCACTTCAGCGCATCCGAATCCATTTACTATACTTATATATATCTCTTTCTCACTATATCTACATCTCATCCACCCACCGAGCGACATTTGTTCGCTTCGCTTCGCTTCGCTTCGTGCCAAATCGCTCAACCCTCCCATGTCAGGTGCGAACCTCGGCGACGATGAACCTTAACACCGTAACACTTCTTATATACTCGAACATCCCCCGATTACACCCGGAGACCTTCTTTGGTATCTCTTCCATTCTCAATACACACATCATTTAGACGCTGAACATCAACACTTATTCCCTTACTCATATCATACGACATGTCGCGCTCTGTACGTAGTAGATATAACAAGACCGCCGACGTTAGCGAGAGGAGCGCTGCTAGCCACTGCAGCGCAGACTCCCAGGACTCGCAGAGCACTGCTAGCACTCCGACTTCTCTACACACCAGTCCTTCGATACGAAAAGCTGCCGACATCTACGCAGAGCAACAGTTCGATATTTCCCCCTGCACAACCTTCTGCGCGCGCTCTTCAACAGAAACCTACGCTTCGACGGTCGAGTCCCTGGAGGAGTTCTACGGAGAAGCGGAAACCCATGACCCGGATTACGACATTCTCGAGAACCGCTCGCCGGTCTCCAGCTATAACAAACTTCGCCCCTCCAACCCCTCTGACTTTGCGGATTACTTCCCTTCGCACCATCGCCTTTCGATCCGACACGATGACACGACGCATGATGGAAACATGAATCTGCGGGTCGATATGGAGCGGAAAAGGGGGACCATTCAACTCTTTCACTTGAAGATGAACGACCTCAAGAAGCGGAAATTCTCCCTGCGTCGTTACGAGCGCGCATCCGGACGAGAAGTCTGCCACTCAGCACGCAAGTTCACCACCCCCGCGACGGAGAGAAGACCTGCGCTGTCGAGGTCAGTCAGCCATGCCTTCGCCAGCATCGTAAAGCCGGACTTTAAACGCGCGAACTCGCACATGGCGGCCCCCAGCTCCAAGAGCAAGAAGTCGATGTGGCGACAGGACAGCGGCTACGGATCCGAAGGCGAAGACGACTATTTCGCAGACCACACCCGAGATTCCGCACCGGTCCAGATCCCGACCAACACCATCAAGCTCGATTTCTCCAACTATGCACAGGTGGAAGTCAAGCGCCGAGGAGCCAAATCATCCAAGAGATATGACTTCGAGTACTGGGGTTCTCAATACGCGTGGAAACGGGAGTCGAGGAAAGACGGAGAAGGAAGAATCTCATACTATCTATACAAAGCAGACGTCGGACCGGCAGTGGCGCACATCGTGCCCGAGCTGCGGTCGCCGGCGCAGGTGAGGGAGGAGGAGAGGAATGGCGGGTGGGTGCCCCCGTGCTCGATGTGGATTTCCGATCCCAGCATACGGGACGCACTCACGGACGTTGCGGAGTAAGTCCAGCCCCTATCGTGTATGCGTAGTTTGTTTGGGATGTCGCCTAACAACACATACCACAGTGTCATCGTCGCAACCGGCCTCATAGCTCTGGTCGATGACTGCATCACGCGCCACTTCCAGTCCAAACCCGGGAAAGCGCCTCGCTACCCGCTCTCCCTCCCTCTCACGCCGCTCAAATACGACATGGAGTTCGTCGGGCCCCGGGCGCTCGTTGAACACATGTTCAAGCGCCGCAACTCGGGCGGTTCCAACAAGGAAAAGGAACAGCAACGCGGCAGCCCGTTGAGGTTTGCCAATCCGGCAACGACGTGCTAGCCACGGGTTGAGGATGTGATCGGAATACATCGACAGTGAAGCGTGTCTCGCAGCTTGAGACGAAAATTGAAACAGTACAGCAAGCCCTGGATGGGTGCTGGTAGGGTCTTGGGAGTCGCATACAGAACCTGGCTTTTCCGTAGGAAGGCTGAGGGATGTTTTTTGTTTGGATATGAAAAGGACTGAGCTTGACTGGAATCCACTGGATTGGATTGGAAAATGATCGAGTGGGATCAGATCGGGCATGATGATATGGCTGGCACGACACGACACGACACGGTATGCTATTTATGAGTAGCGTACTCTTTCTTTCTTTTAAAAATTCTTTGAAAACGGGCGGGCGGGTATGGCGCTGAACAGCTAGCGTTTCCTTTTTTTTTTCTTTTTTTTGCCTTGATGGGATGATCACACGAACGGAACGGAATGGGATGGTCAGTCGATACGAAGTCGGTCGATACGAAGTTGGGTAGTAGGTAGTCGTAATGATTTAACGCTTCTCTTATTTTATCTATCATTCCTTTTTTTTCCTTCTTTTTTTCCTGCTATGAAATCTCAGATGTATGGTTTTCTTTTATATATAGATATGGAAATGTATACTTTTCTCTATGTTAAAGAATGAAAGAAATTCAAATTGCATTCTTGCATCAGGCATTATGTGTATTAGGGGAGGGAGGGCTGAAGAGTTGGTTCTTCGGGTGTTACTAAAAAAAAAATATTGATGTTTGTTAATGCTAGGTACCTACCTAGGTGAGGTACGGCAAGACAGGGCAAGGCAAAGGAATAGGTTCTGGAATGGGTGATTTTAAACATGTACGTATATGAATGTTTTTTTGGGGGGTGGAGGGAGCATTGGAAATGGAAAATGGAATTGCTTATTGTAAAGGCAAGGGGAAGGAGGGATGAGGTGTTGACCATCGCGATCAAAGAAACCTTTCGCTCTAGCCTCCCCCCACCCCCCGGGCCCGCGAACAACCCCTGCAAACCCCCCCCCAAAAAAAAATCGCTAACAAAACCTTGTTCCGCAAAGTTTACGGAAAACTGCGTATCAAAAACATGGAAAGCAAGATGTACCGGCACAACTATCAGATGAAGCTAGAAGTGACGAGCTCAGATTGTGGGAGGGTATCCTATCTTATCTATCTCCCTCGGGTGGGCTCGAACCACCAACCTCTCGATTGCAGACTGCGTTGCTGGAGACTTTAACAGTCGAACGCGCTAGCCAATTGCGCCACGAGGGATGGATGTGTGTCTCTTTCGCATGTGTGTGAGTGAGTCTATACACGACGGTGGGTTTGTTACTCGAAAGTTTTTATTTGTTGAAAAAAAAAAAAATTTTAAGGAAAAAAATAAGAAGAAGAAGAAAAAGAATAAAATGAAGAAGAATTATCTGAAATGAGAAGAGAGAGAGGGATTGATTAATAGGTTGATAGATAGGTATCTGATGTATTAAGGGGGGGTAAGAGGTTTAGATAAACTCTAATGGAGGGTCTGAAAGCTGTGGGAGGTTATGGATAACTAGTAGTAGGTATAGTAGTACGTAGTAAGTAGATAGTCTGGAGTAAAAGCTAATTAAACATCAGTAGGTTCATTAAGCGCTACTGCATATTAAAATCTCGAAGAAATCAACAATGCGCGTATCTGTCTCTGTGTTTCATAACAGGCTGCGCTTTAGAGAGGGAGATTTGATGGAGACTCCCGTGGATGGAAAAAAAAAGAAAAAATCTACTTTAGATATATGATCAGATAACCTCCTCCCCCCCCCCAAGTCCACATACATAGGGTCTCCCTCCGAGGTATGCAAGACAGGAGAGAAGACATTGCGTACAGGAAATAGAGAACAGGTACCGGTAGGTACAAAGTACCTAGTCCAGCGAGCCTACTTACATCTAGCTCCAGGCTTACTTGAAAAGGTCTAGACTCTCCAACACCGCCGTTTAGCGTCTAGACGGTATGGAATCTGGACAGGCGGCGATGTGGAAGCTACCAAGGTAATTATTAAGCGAAGAGAATATGGACTAGAACTAGACTTGCCAACTAGGTATTGGCCCTACCTACTACGTACCTACCACACTGCCTTTTTTTTTTTTTTTTTTTTTTTTGAATGCTCGTATATACATATATGCGTGTGTAGCGTCTACACATCAACCAATAATCGCTCCATTTTAAGAGAGGTAGTTAATAAAAGTGTAATCGATAGCTCGAGGTAATAAATCAACCCCCCTCCCCGCAACTACCTACCTAGGTAATCAGTCCCTCTTTTCAAGCCCGGTAATATCTATCGGATTACGAGCTCGTTCTTGCCTATTCCCCAGCTAACAATGCATTCTTGATATCCATATATTCACACAATTCCTTGATTGCCAAGCTGTTCTCGAGGTTTCCCCAAGGATGAACATCCAGTATCCAATATCTGATATCCGATATCCATCTGATATTCCGCTGAGAAAGTAAGTACCCAAGCGCGTTTCCGCACTCGCTTAAACGCATTCATTTCATTTCATTTCATTCACTCTATCATACATATAAATGTCTAGCCCTCGTAGTGAGTACTCCTGGGAAAAGATTTGGATGCGGAGAGGTAATAAGTAAGTAAGTAGAGTCACGGGCTCCTCAAAAAGGGCTGTGGGCCCTCGTCCATCACTTGATGGGGGTTTGTGGGCTCGACTAAGGTACGGTTGGGAACGATCTAAAGTAGGCCCCCCTAGGTTCCTCTCTAGCAGTGGAAGCTTCTCCCACTGACTGAGGATTTTTGGGGGTTCACTTATCTTTTTACCACTGGGGATCTCAGTATCGGTAAGTGATGCATGGCAGTTAGGAAGGGGAGGAGGGGGGAACAAGCAAGCCAGCAGCCTATGACGAATTACGTTCTGATTTGATCTACCTGCCAGCCAGCCCATAAGAGCCACAAGATGTTGAGGGCCAGGTCTGGGAAACGGGAGAAGTCCTCGAGCCGGTTGTTGTTGAAGAAGCTAGCTTGAATGCTCTGCGCCGGCCCCAGAGCTACTACTGGGTCTGGTCCCATCCCACGATAGCGTCCCCAAGTAGTTGAGGCATTAACCGCCTTTACTTACTTACTTAACCTGCCCACCCCACGCCTCAGTTACCCTCTCAACACGAGAGCCACTGTCTGATTCTAAATTCCTATCCCATCCCAGACCCCCCAACCTGTGTTCTTGAATCGCAACTCCCAGCCCCGAGAGCAGGAACACCAAGATGGACATGACCCCCAAACGGGTGCTTCCGTACGCGGAAACGCGCTCATCGGTCGTAACACAGTCCACGCCGACATCCCCCATCTCGTCCCAAGCACCCAATCTCAAGCCCGCGTTACATCGGCGCGCAGTGACTTGGGGCGATAACCCATCGTGGAGACAACTCGCGTCCTCAACATCGGCTGAGACGACGCCGGCAACAGCACCGGAAGTACCTCCACGGGCTCCCGATGCCTCAGTATCAGCATCAGAATCAGAACCAGCAACGGCATCTACAGCCACAGCCGCATCTTTGGGATCCCCGACCAATCCAGCAGACCCCATCTTGATCTCGCGTACGGCGGAGCCGCTCCAGCGTACGCGCCGCGACCCGTGGCTCTCTCTGTCTCTGATCACGGGGCTGGCAAGAGGGAGGTCCGCTATTCCCGTGCTGCCGCCATCGTACTGCACTTTCCACTGGAGATGCTGTCGCGAGACGTGGAACTGGGGCCTGAAGAAGCCTCTGGTAAGCAAGCTGCACCCACGTCCCCCGAGGGCGGGGAGGATGAGAATGAGAATGCTTTTTTGGGAGGGGGGGTTTGGCTGACGGGGAAGACAGCGGAAGAAGAGATGCGGCACGCAGAATCGAGTGTTGAAGCCGGCGTGCACGAAGTGCTGGCATCGTGCGTGCTCCAGGTGCGAGAAGTATGCGATGACGCAAGAGGATCTTGATGCGCTTTCGCGGGTGGCGGACCAAGATGCAAACGGAAAAGGGAAGGGGAAGGGGAAGGGGAAGGATGTGGGCGAGCGGAGGCCCAGTGGTGTTTTTCTTCCTGGTTGGGGCATTGCTGCTGATTCGGAGAGTCCAAGAACATCGTGATGGTGTTGTTGAGGTAGGAGGGCCCGAGGACTGGATCACTACCTAGCTTCGGTGCGTGGTAGGGTTTGAGTGCGGATGGATAGCTTCGTGATTGGATGATGGCGGGTGGTTCCGACGACGCCGTGGGATTCGTCATTGTGCCGTTGAGACAGGAAGGCCCACGTCTTGAGAATCACTGGCTGGTTGCAGGTCGGGGTTGTGACTGACATCTTCATGCTCTCTCGAGTGTATTTATACCGATCTATACACCTCTCCAACTTTATCTAACCATCGACATCAAAACATCGTTAGCAGAACAATTCACCATAGCTTCGAAGCCTAGAAACATTTGAAACAAAAAAAAAAAAGGGATATCAAAGTAAATCCACACCCAAACCTCTCTCAGCAACGAGAATCAAAATGAAGGCATCATCCGTTTCACTTGCTTCGGCCGCACACCCACTCGGGCTCGAAAATCCCCGCTGGCTCTGCTGCCACCCTCCTCAGGACGCCGTTCTCAATTCACCGGTAAGCTTATCCTCACCTCCCCAGAGACATGTCCGTCGCCATAGACTCACGTAACTAGTGCCTTAAGCCAAACCCATTGAGCGCGAAAGAATGCACCAGGTGCACGCATAAGAAGTGCGAACACTGCCCCATTCTCCATGACCTGAAGGCGGACGGGGGGTACGAGGAGGGCCGAAAGGTTGATGGTAGCGGTGTTGGTTTGATGGGGGCCTTGAAGAGATTTGCGGGTTTGTGAGTCGAGAGCGATGAGAGCGTTTTCTGTATGTACGTTTTTGGATCTAAGTTACTCACCTCTAAGGTAGTCATCGTTGAGTAAAAGTCGTGTATGCGTCAGAGTTGTGTGACGAGACGTTCCATTCAGAAGACTGAGGCTAGAATGTGACTGGACCTGTGAATGGTAGATAGCTGTGATGACTCGAAACGCACTCTTCACAGATAGCTAGCTGCGCGTGCATTTATATCCCTACCGATCAGCTCGAAGAAAGGTCAGCACCAGCAAGGAAAGGCAGCATTACGCACCTACTGCTTCTCCAACCCGTCGTCCACTCCACCTTACTCTAGCACTTGACAGCCCCAAGCCAGGACTCCCGTCAATCATGAGCGTCGAAAGCCGAGCAGCACTCCTGGCGATCGCCATCACGCTCGCCGTCCTCATCCCGTTCGCGATAGTAGTGTTTTTGTATCGCTACGTCAAGGTTGTGTCAGGAGCCCCGGCTCCGGGGGGTGGCCAGGCGGCGCCGAGCCAAGAGCCTCCGGCTGCTACGGATCCCGGTGCCGGGCCGTAAATCCTGCCTGGGAGTTGAAACAATCAAGAGTTGAAACAATCAAGTTTATGCTAGGATAATGAAGGGTTGGATGTGATGGGCTGGTATGTTCATCTTGTTGTGAATCGTGTGGGTTGAGAGTGAAGGAGGAGGCTGACAGGAAATGGAATCCAGTGCAACAAAAGCATGCGCTTGACGACGCAGAGTTGAGATGGATGTGGGCATTGGTTTTGAGAGACTGGATATGGTAGAGCCAGATGGTATAACAATGGGAGGGCTGGCTGGGACGAGTAGAAGGACATACCTGAGGTAGGCACAGGGGATAATTTCGAGTCTATGCCTCCAGTGGTTTCTAGAGCAGAGATGCGATGCCTTGGTATTTGTACAGAAGCTAATTAGAAATTTGCAAAGCCTGACTCCACGCCGCCGTGATTTGCGCCATCCCACATGCAACTCCTTATATTGACAACGCCATCAAACTCCCGCCACTTCACATTCGCTTTTGCGTAGTGCCTTCGCTGGATTTGTTTCCCGCCCTCCGGATTTCTGTTGCATTTCGTACTTTAAGCGAGTTTTGCTTGTGCAGAGCACCTGGTAGCGAACAAGAGAGAAAGAGGATCGCCCAAATTAGCCGACTGGTGACTCCAAGACTGGGCTTTTGTTGCATTTCGCAGAATAAGCGAAATGCACTTGCGGAGGACAGAGCCGAATGGAGCTGTTGCTTCCTGGGTCCATTCGAGGGTTCCACAGCGATATGGCGTTAGAGTCGAAAAGCAACCTCGCGTAATTGCAATACTGAAAACGGATGCAGCTTGCAAATCTCGGAAGTGAAGCAAAGACCCACTCCCAGCTATTGCAGCTTTTCCATAAGCCCCTTTCTCACGTTTCCGTTCACCACCCCACCTATGCCAAAAGCAGGGACAATCCGACATATCCTAGCCATTGCACTTATGCTCCAGTTCTTCTTGACCATCTGCCATCGGTCTTCCCACGTAATATTCCCGCCTCTGTTGTACAAGTCCAGTCCTAGTAGGTGTAGAGGCGTGCTAACAAACTGGACCGCAGCAGGAGCCATAAATTGCGCCATTGACTGCCCACTCATGCGCTTCGCTAGCTCGTTGTTCATGTTCTTGCTTATGACCGGCCCAAGGAGAGGCGGAATATTGAAAGATGCGAAAATTGTGAGGCAGTCGCGGAGCGTAAAGAGCGCGAAGGAGGGGAGGGGAACCGGTCGCGGTGGGCCACCAGAGCCAAACATCTGTGCGAAGGTCGCATCTTTTATGAGACAGAGTCCCACATTGGCCGCTGAGGATGCTGCGAACTTCGCAGTGCCGCTTGTGACGTGCGTTGCAGATTTGTTCTTCGCGGTCGAGGTAAGGGTATCGAGAGTGTTAGCCGTGATGTATGTTCCCCCGTAGACCATGGAGATAAGGGCGAAGGGCTTCGAGAAGAGGAGGTTATGCGGTCGCAGGAAGAAGGTCCTGAACGAGTCGAAGAGGGAGGACTTGAGGCTTGCTTTCCCTGAGGCATTTTGCATTATTGCTTCTGGAGAAGACGCATTAATAGAGGAGCAGGAGGGATGAGGGGGGAGGGAGGAAAACACTCACTGTCGATGATTGTAATGAGAGGAGCCACCATTATAGCAGCGCCAGCTCCAGACACAAAGTCGGATGTGAGTCGCAGACCAAGATTCTTTGTATTCCATACTCGAGGAGCCATCAGAGGCGTTTCGGTAGCTTTTTGCAAAGGTGCCAAAGGTTTGGCCAAAGGTTTGGACGAGTCCATGTTGTTGACTTTCGGCGGCGTTTCCAGCCCGGACGGTTCTCGTCTCATTGAGGTCTCATTGCAACTTCATGGATGCATATCTCGAAGTCGATGGCGATTTGGAATGGCGCGGCTCGTCAAGAGTTGAGCATAGGTACGGAAACGCGATATACACCAGGGGCTCACTGCCGGTTCTGCGAGGTATGACGGCCGACGAAAATAATATTGGGTCGAGCACGTGACCACATCAAGAGATAGCGATAAGCCAAAAGGCATTGCAATGTGCAAGACAGTGGAGAGAAACTGACAATAGCGGATTCGCAATTGACGTACATCGGATTCGAGATGGGGAATTTGTCAAGGACAGAAGACATTGCGCTTGAGACCAGGCCGATCCAGCTTGCAAGGGATTTATACTGCAGGAGTCTGATGGTAGTGACCTCGGATCAATAAGCGGTCACGGTTCACGAACCCCCAAGCCCTTTGCAATCGGTATGTACAACTACTTACTTCACTGGAAAGATCTTGACAACGGACACGTCGCTCCACCCTCCTCGTTCTCATCTTCAATCTCGGCTTTTCATCTTCAAAGCGAAATGGAAGCGGTCGTTGTACTCGAACCGGCTCTGCTCTGCTCGGCTCTGCTCTGCTTGGCTCCGTACACAACCTCGTCCGTATGTCCGAGCACATCCAACCAGCCAGCCTCAGAAGCCAGGGTTGGCCCATCTCCATCTCCATCCACATCCCCAGGCCAGGTCAGGGGGTCGACGACGACGATGCACCTTCCTCGCGCCGGCTCTATTCCCTCGAGCCTCGCCATAGCGCTATAGCGTGGTGCATTATTGACCGCTCTAGTCAAAGACTCGAAGACAAGGCGCTGCTGAACTCCGAACCCCAGTGCATACTTTGCAGACAGAGACAGACAGACAGACAGACAGAAAAGAGTGGCTTGTCCGCGTGGTCGAAATCCTTGCAGACCGACAAGCCACCTCTCAAGATGCATCAGAAAGCACAAAAAAGGCCTCTGCTTTCCGACTGTTCTCTGTCTTTGTTGCACGTCTTGTATCCCCTGCCTGTTGGGCTTCCAAGTGTGCCCTTGCTCGCGGATCCGGTCGATCCTTGTGGTGTTGAGTGTGGCCGGAGCAAGGCTTGGCCCCGGACTCAGTTTTGTTCTGCTCCTTTTTGTCGAATTTGTTGATTTTGTTGCATGTCTGTTATCCCCTGCTGCTTTCTTCTAGCTGCTGTACAGTAGATACCAGCTCTTGCGTGTTGGAAGGTCGACCGAATGTAAGGCAAGGGGTACTTTTGAACCTCGATTGTCTTCGCATTTTGTGCTGTGGCAGACCGGCCTTTTGTCGAGGGCCTGCACCACATTTCGTGTACCTGTCTTCCTTATGCATCTTTCAATGTCATGCTTGATGGTTTTCTCGCACAAGATCTTCGACTGACCGTAGCTCGGCTGGGAATAAGAATTCAATGGCTGGCTGTACATGGCCTCGTCACAACTCGATACAGTGAAAAAGACAGAAACGCTCTAGGTCCTGCCTACGGAGTCAAATCGATCCGATTCCACGTTAATCAGTTAATCACCATCGGTAGGAGCTTGTGTAGCAGCTACACGTCACGTGATGATTGGGATGCTAGCCATGGAATCTAGCCATGGGTCCGAGTATATACCCCTGCCCACGTCCGAGTCCTTGGGCTGAGTCCGGCATGCCAGCCTTTCTGAAAGCAGTCAGTCTCCAGCTTCGTTGCACGTCTTGCACCCCTGCATAGCTTTGTGAGCCGACCACGGGTGCATGCTAGTTCTCTCTAGGGCCCATACCTACTACTACTACTACTACCACAACTACTACTACGTATATTTTTCTTGCACATCCTACATCCCCTGCAAGTTTGCTTCCCCATATTCCAAGTCCCTGTTTAGTCTGGATTCGGTTCCGACCTTCTCTGGGTTGCACATCTAACACCCTTGTGCGCATGGATGCTTGGATCTGTATGGATCTTACCGGCCCCATTAGTCGAATGCTGTGGGAGCTTTCTCGTTCTGGCTAGAAAGACGTACCATACTTTGATTTTTGTTGCATATCTTACAACCCTTGCAAGTTTGATTAGTTCTCTCATCCTCGGCTTCAGCTCCTGCTTTGTTGCACATCTCGTACCCTTGCAAGGTTGTTTAGTACATCGTGCTCTTGGGTCCACTCAACTTTCCTGGTTTGCTGATGCCCTTGCATGTACAAAAGGAATCCTGTTCCTATTCTGTTGCAAGTCTTATAACCCTTGCAAGGCTGTGTAGCACTTTGTGGTCTCGGGCTCACTCAACTTTCCTAGTTTTCTGCATATCTCATAACCTTGCAAGGTTATATAGCATTGTGAAGTCTTAGATTCACTCGACGTTCTTCTATCATTGCACACATCATACCCTTGCGAGTATGTGATCAGAGAAATCTTGCTCCTGTTCTGTTGCACATCTTGTAACCCTTGCAAGTGTATTTAGCGTGCGCCATAGCGATTCCTAGTCTACAACCTGCTTGTATATCGTTGTTCAATTGTACATCTCACAACCCTTGCAAGCAGATCTAGTGCTTTCTAGTCTCAAATCTATCCGAAGATTCCTGCTTTGTTGCATATCTCAAAGCCCCTGCAAGCAGATGTAGTGCTTTTTAGTCCTAAATCTTACAAAATCTTTTTGATTTGCTGTTGCACGTTGCGACTCGCCGACTCCGACGTCCCAGCAATGATTTCGATCTTCAGTCCTTTGCTTTTGTTTCCTGAGTCGCTGAGGTAGCTAAGCTCCCTTTCAGCAAGAAACTAGAACAGCAGTCAAACCTGATTGGTTTTTTGTTACGATACCAGGCTTTTTATATCAAAAAATATGGGGGGAGCTAAGCTAATCGTCGGCTCGCTTGCCAAAGTATAAATTTCTTGTAGAAAAATGGTCGAGTTGACGCTCGGAGCTTGAATAAAGCTTTTTTGGAAACCGAGCTATCATCCTTTGAAAATATCTCTAGGTTTTTGTTGCACGTCTTGAAAATTGCAGATCAGGGCTCATCCCTGCAAGCTCTTCCAGTATGTTGGTTGGTTTCTTGATTTAATGGAGTCGTGCGTGATAGCTGCTGGCTAGCAGCTTATCAGGTTTTTGGGACTGGGCTGAGCCTTTTATTCTTGGAACCCAGTGCCACCTTCCTTCTTTTAGAATTCAAAAGTCTGAATCAAACGTGGACTGTGATCAGATCATTACGCTGTTAAAGAATTACAATTTTATCTAGAACGAGTTAGAGGTTGAGGCTCTGCAAGGTATTGGCCTCACGCCAGAGGGAGCTCGGGTTATTTTCGATAGATGGGAAAAGGCAAGGCGTGAACTTGCGCCTGTCGGTTCTGGAACCAGCCTGCCTGAGTAAGATGTTATTTCTCGCACCCGCTCCATGATATTGCCAGTCCGATAGAAAATCTGACTTGAATTCCTAGTTTCGCCAAGGGAGACCTGCTTAGGCTAATTATGCTTCCATGGCGTGATATGCCTGTATCACAAGCCATGACTTCTCTATGTGTATCTCGAGAACTATAGGATACACCTCTGGATCCCCGATTCTCTCAGATATTCCGACCCAACCCCCTCTTCATTGGCTCCAGAATACACTGTCGACCAGACACGCCACTATCAAGAGATCTTTGATTCGCCTCAAGTCATCCGCAGAGGGCAACCTAGCCAGAATACAGGAAGGGAAAACTGCCGGATTCGCCCTCTTACACGATGAAGCCGAGAAGGAACTCCTGAGTCACAGCAGCGTACTGGAGAAGAGTCCGCCTACGCTCCTCGGACATTGCATCCTGTACAAGAGCGTCGCTCTCCTAGACAAAGAGTCACTGGTATGCTACAATGGTGATGGATATATAGCAACCGATGAGGATCGACACGGTCACGGTGGAACGGATTTTTCTCGGAGAGATCACGCAGTCTACCTCTTTCCAGACCGCGACACCGCCGAAGAATATCGCAAATGGTCTGCGACCCGATGTCCCTGGACCGAAACCCTGCTGGTCCGGGTCCAGATCCCCCACGCTGTCCTCGACACCGTCAGGAAAGAGCAGATGTGGTATTCGGAGCCGTAGAAGGAGTGGGTAGGGGAATCTCCGAATATCACGGCGGATCGATTCGTCCCTGAAACGCTGAATAGGCTCCTTCCCCAGGGCGACGAGATTCTCGCGGTGGAAGGCCACATCTGGGGGCGGGCGCCTGCCGCGGGGCCGAGGATGGATCGAGAGGAGTTCCAGAGGATTGCGGAGGATGACGTCCTTCTTCACATTGGAGGGGCGAAGGCGGTTCAGGTCGCTTTTACGGCTGCTGCGAGCGAAGGATATAAAGCCTTGGATCTCTTGGAGGACTTGACGAAGAAGGGGCTGATCCACGTCGAGATCTATCCACCTCATGCATTGTCAGGATGGGAGTGTAAGCTTCGTGGGTTACATATTAGTAAAATTGGTTTTCCATACGATGCTATATATAGTTGCAACTCAAAATTCCCTTTCAATGTTGTTGTATCGTGACATTGGATTAAAGTGATGCATTTTGTTGTTGTCCAAGCTAATCTGCAGCTGCCCGGAAATAAACTTAACCGGAGTTTACTCTACCGGCAAAGAATTTCCCGGGCGAAAAATTCCTGGGGCAAGTAAGCTAGAGATAATATTGGTGTCTTTCTTTGCCTGCGAATATCAAAGTCCTGTCTAATATCAGTTCAGAATTTGGAATATCCACCGGCATGGACCGTCGTGCGAAGGGAAAGAGACGGTGAGAAACCCGCGTAGGGCTGGGTGGCTGCCCAGGCTTGGCACTACCAGGTGCCGGGCCCGGCCGGCTTCTAATCGGCACAATGGAAATTCCAACGCGTTCCAAAAAAGTCTTCGATCACCGGACCCGAGCACGAAAGACATCGGAATGGGGCATATAAAAGTTTAAAGATTGAGCGGCCTGCATGCAAAAGATTGCGATCGCGACGAGCGTCATGGGACTGTTTAGACTATTAGCCAAGGATACCCAACTGTCATTGTGCTAAACCGTACCTCGAACCCACAGCCTTAGACTTAGGAGGTCTACGCGCTACCATTGCGCCAAACACCCTCAAATTGATCGATGTTGACAAATGCATGCTTGGTTCTATCATACAGCTAACAGAATTCTCGCGGGCCGAATGTTCCCCGCTAATATGGTCATAGTGTATTTATATAACGCCAAGACAGTATCTAGCTCGTGCAAGACATTTTCAGAAGTTTCTAAAACAATCATATTTGATCCAGAATCCCCTCCTTCCGTCTCTATTGTGGACCGTCATAGCCTTAACAGAGAGCCATCTTGTTTGGAATGCATCACGTGATATATCAGAGAAGAACCTAACAGCGAGTTACCCACCTACCACCCACAACTACCTATTCTTTGGTGGCCTCTCGTATTCCTCGCAGAAATTCAGGGGCTCTCGAGATCTTATCTGAAGGGTTGTCGAGCCTAGTATGGCAATGAAGCGTGGAAGACCACATGACGAGATATATACAGGAGCCTGTGAGGATCCTTTATCTGGTATCCCTTCGACTTGAATTAGACAAAGGGTTTGCTCTTGACTTTCTCTTCGGATCGTGACTTGTCTACCGGTTGCCTACAGACTACAGATAAGTCTCAAAGACAGGCGAGCTCTATGCTCCTCAGCCTTGTGTCCGCACTTGGCTGTTAGCTAGCCTCGGCAAGGATGGCGGGGGATCTTCAGCTTCAACTTCAACGTCACGTCGATCTACGGGGCATCCGTCGCCGTGCTTATCGCAATGTGATCCCTTTGTTACCTCTATCTTAACATCTAGAGCCAATCGTATATCCGGTAAGGAAGACAAGATGCCGAAAGCAATTGTAATGAAGCACATCGAAGGGAAGCCAGGGAAGGTCTACTACCCGTAAGAATCTCCCCCAACACAAAAACATTTCCTTCCCTAAGCGCTGTTGATATTGACATTATCTTTCCTACAGCCTGCAGATCAAAGAAGTTCCTGCCCCGGCACCAGGGCCCAACGATCTTACTATTCAGATCCACGCTGCCGCCCTCAACCACCGCGACTTCTTCCTCCGTCAAGCTTTATACCCCGCCCCCTCCTTCGACGTCCCCCTTCTCGCAGACGGCTGTGGCATCGTAAAATCCGTCGGCTCTTCCGCCTCACCGTCGCTGGAGGGAAAGCGGGTCATCCTGACGCCCGGGCGAGGCTGGAAGGACTCGCCCGACGGCCCGGAAGCACCCAGCGGCTACCAGATCCTCGGAGGCACGACGACCATCCCCATCGGCACGCTCCAGGAGTTCGTCACGGTTTGCGAAGATGAGGTTGAGCTGGCGCCCGCGCATCTCAGTGCTGTGGAAGCGGCTGCGCTGCCTCTGACGGGTCTGACGGGCTGGAGGGCGTACGTGAGCAAGAGCGGGAATGCACAACCGGGACGCAACATCTTGGTTACGGGCATCGGTGGTGGTGTCGCTTTGAATGTGCTGCAGTTCGTGGTGGCGATGGGCGGAAACGCCTATGTGACGAGTGGGAGCCAGGAGAAAATCGACCGGGCGGTATCTATGGGCGCCAAGGGGGGCGTAGGCTACAAGACGGAGGGATGGGAGAAGGGGTTGAAGGCGCAGCTGCCAAAGGATAGGCCGTATATCGATGCGATTATTGATGGTGCCGGTGGGGATGTCATTGCTAAGGCAGTGAAGCTTCTGAAAGTATGTTGAGCGGTGAAGAGGGTTGGATACATGTTGACTCTGCTAGGCTGGTGGTATCGTTGTTCAGTACGGCATGACTACTGCTCCCAAGATGGAGTGGACTATGAACGCTGTTCTCAAGAACATCGACCTCAAGGGATCCACGATGGGCTCCAGGAAAGAGTTCCGAGACATGGTTGCATTTGTCAACGAGAAGAAAATCAGACCTGTCGTCTCGAGGTCGGTCAAGGGCATCGACAACCTCCAAGATATCGATGGTTTGTTTGAGGATATGAGGATTGGGAGCCAGTTTGGAAAGCTGGTCATTGAATTGGTGCCTGAAGAGGGATCTGCCAGTAAGTTGTAAGATGTATGCCGCCGGTATATATTATTTCCAAAAGTCTCATGCGTATATCTATTAAATGTGGTTCAGTCTTTTCCGTTTCATAATGTTTCTTTCTTTCTATATTATTTCACTTCCCCCATGACATTCAGAAGATGGAAAAGCGACACAACGTCATCGCCGCGTGTGATGAATGGTCGTCGCGAAATCTTGATCTTGGGTCATCTGCCCCGCATTCCTTGTCTGCGCCACGAGTGGTCCACGTATGATCGCGAAGAAGGCTGTGGCGGAAACATAATAAAGGTCTCGGCTCTTTCATCTTTCCAGACAAACAAACAAACAAACAAATAGATTCTCTTTTTGGGGGAACTTGAGGTCACAACACTAGAAATCTCTGCCACCTCAACACCCAACTCAGTATCACGATATCAGAACGTCCACTCGGATTCATAACTCCATAACTACACAACTCCACTCCATCATCTCACGGGAAACTCAAAATGGCATTCAACTATCCCATCCTCATCCTTCCGATCCGAGCAATCCAGGCGCTGTTCTCTCTGATAGTCCTTGGTGTCCTAGCCTACGGTTTGTCCTTCACCGCAGCCTCGCTCCTCCTTTCCCCATCACACCCATCCAGCTAACGCGAGGAACAGCTGCAAACCACTGGGGCGGGTCCTCTCCCTCCTCCATCAACTTCCTTATATTCACGTCCGTCTGGACACTCCTCGCGCTCATCTATCTCATCCTGGCCCCGGCCCGGTTCCCAGCCTACGCTCACAAATACGGCATCCTGGGCGCCGAATTCGTGACCATGGTCTTCTGGTTCGCGGGCTTCATTGCGCTGGCAGACCACCTGTCGGATATCAGATGTGGCTCGTATGCGGGGAGACACTGGGGGCCATGTCGGGCTGGGATCGCTGGGGACGTGTTTGCGGCATTCGAGTGGTGAGTTTTTTCTCGCGAACCTCTGGCGCGGAGAAGTTGTGGCATGCAGATGACTGATGGCCTGCCTCATTACAGGGTATTGTTTGCAGTGACGACCGCGATCGCGGCGCTGCATGCGTGGAATACGAGAAACGATCGCAGCACGAAGTCGGATTCTGCCATGGAAATTTACGTTTGAGGATGGGCTTGGGCTTTGGGGCTGGGCTTGGGGCTGGCTGACGAGTCATACCTTTCGTTGCGCGGTTGCAGTAAGGAGAGATACCCGGTTATTGTTTTTCACGAAGCTCGATGAAGTATGGAAGGGGGCATCTTTTTTTCCAGGCCGGCCGTCTTTTATGATACCACTTTCTTCGAACGCTTTGGTGATCGTTGATGCGTTCGTTCCTCATTGATTTCTTGGTTGATTCCGTCGCGCGTTAGAGGTGGCTTTCTTCATTCCCTGTTGTTGTTGTTATTGTTGTTGTGGTTGTGTTTCTATACGGTCGATTCGGGATTTTGCTTGGTTGCGTTTCATAGGGGGCACGGGCATGGGCTGCACGACATCGGAAGGAATGTGACGGTGTTGGAAGGAAGCCGTGTCAATTGTCCGCACAATATACATCCGCAATCAAAGCCTACCCGAGCTAGCTTTCATCTTGCAATCTTGTGCGTTCGCGAATCAGGCTTATAATCATACTCGAAAGAACGAAAAGCGTCAGACTTACTCACGGAGAAAAAACCCCTCCCCCTCTCGAACAATAAAGTGGTGTTGCCCTGCTGGACCCAATCGGCCATTTAACCGAGAGTGATTCGCATTCCCTAGTATCTTGCTCGGGAGACCGCTCAGCATGGTGGTTTTGGTTTTCTATAATAGATAGATAGTTGCTCCAATTCCAATTAAAAAAAAAGGAAAAGAAAAAAAAAAACCTGGGCTGCTTCTCGCACGCACGACGCCTGCCTACTTTATCAGTCAGGAATGGACCATGGAGCTGGAGGCGGCCCACACAGTCCGTTTTCTCTCTTTCTTCTCTTCCTTTTCTTCCCGCATTCCAAGAACAAGAACGAGAACCGCCGCCGCCGCTACACACACATTGTAGGTATGCGTAAGAGAGAAGAGAGAGGGCTTTTGGGCTTGGGGGGTTGAGCTTTAGCTCTGGAAGTAAAGTCCTGTTGGCGGACTAGCCTCTCTCTCGTCTCTTGCTTTTTTTCTCTCTTGCTTTGTTTCTTGCTGTCTTTCTGTCCACTTTACCTGCCGTATAGATCTTGGTTCGGGTTTTGGATTTGGCGCCCCCTCCCTCAACTGCCAACCCCAGCACTTGGAATTTAGAAAATTAATATGAAGACAGGAACAGGGGAGGAGGAAGAGGAAGAGGAGGAGGAAGAGGAAGAGGAAGAGGAAGAGGAAGAGGAAGAGGAAATTCTTAGCGACTAGATGGATAGAGAGAGATAGGAAATGGTGTTCAATTCTTCCCATCTTCTCTACTTCTTTTTTCTACGGAGTAAGCTCTTCTTGTTCCTCTTCTTCTCTCGCGCGTTGTAGGCAGGCTATCCTGGGTGCTTATCGTGCTTGGAAGGCTGGGTTAGTTGTTGTGCGCTTCTTATCTGTTCTGGGTTTATATACATAGACATATATATACATATACATGTACGTGGTTGTATGTCACAGCTCCCCCGCCCCACACCCTCTCCTCCTCCTCCGTCTCAAATAGCTGGCTGCTAGTTGGCTACGTGTGTATATATGCAAGGCCAGTCCATACATACTGCGTACTAGATGCATACACACATGCATACATACATACATGGTACTCCGCCTCCCAAATCTCCACGTCTTTTTGCCGCGCGCAGGTAGGCTTTGTCTGCCAGCTGACGGACGGAGACGCTCACATATCTTGGCTAGGTAGAGCAAGGATGAGATCTCCGCTAGCGCTTTTCGATTTTTCTCTGTTATACAGTACAGTGCTGTAGTAAGGATTCGAAAGTTCTTGACTCCTCGGAGGGTGGGTTCTGGCCCTGCTCTGTATGTGGGTATGTACAGAAGAAGTACAGCAGTCAAGTCTTGTCCCTGGTCAAAAGCAATGGGGGTGTGGAGAGAGGGTGTAGAGCCCAAGCTTGAGCTGATGAGGTACAGGTCCAAATAGCTTGCTTGCGTAGAAGTTCTAGGGAAATCACATTACTGGTTGGCTGAGCTAAGCTCGGCTTGCTTGCCCTTTGTAGGGCCGGGGATAACACTTCACCGCTGTACCGCTGTATGTGTGTGTTGAGACTTTAAGTCGTGAGATGAGGTACAAATAGGAAAGTAGAGGGAGTTTGTTCTTGATGGGGGTATTTTTGCTGACTTGATTTCTGGGGGTGGTTCGTTGGGGGGTGGGGGGCTTGGTGAGGTGAGTGAGGAAAGGAGGGAGAGAGAGGAGAGAGACTTGGCTGGAGTTTAGAAGATGGGGGGAGAGACTTTCTGCTCTACAGGAGACATGAATTACGTACGGGATACGTCAAAGGGAAATGTAGATATACATTTGTATAGCCGGCTCCATATCGCGGTATACGATATGACGAGCATGTTGACCGCAGTTATGCAAGTCGAGCTTGGGAAAGGCTGAGAACGCTTTATCTGAAGAAAACAGGAAGAAAAATTTACCGAGGGGGTGGAATGACAGGCGACCTCAGTCAGAGCAAGCTCTCGCAATACAGCTAAACGAATTCATCCAGCCCCCCTCCCCTTCTCCACAGCAGACGCCCGAATGATGGAGCTAATCATGGATGAATTCCTCCCACCGTTATACTCCTAGCTCTCACTCCCCCAAGTCGCTAGAGTACACCTATATCAATTTCAATGCTTTTCATCTTGTGAAATCGAATGCTATATCGAGACGCTGTAGCAAGAGAATCAGAGCCCTTTCATCCACCCATTTCTCCATAGGAACGCAGTATCCTGACAACAGACAAGGAGCTCAGAACAGGCGGCTTCTTATGCAGAGGACCACGCAAACCATCCCTATTGGCGTTTCGGATGCTATAGGTGAAAGTGAAGAAACGGGTCGATGCTGCCAAGAATGTAGCTAGGCTCGAGTTTCCCTTATGCCCTAGGTATATATCTCCAAACACCGCTCTGGACTTCAGCGCACTTCCCATACATGCCCCGATCAATCTTTTCTGCGGCAGCCAATGAGCTCGGCATGGATTCTATGCAGTTGTCCGGCCGCCAGACACCTTCGTTCATGAGTAGTAGGCATAGAGAGAGATAGACGCCTAGCCAAGACTGGCTCGGGACTAGAAGTAGCGAGGCCGCCGCTTATCTCCAGCGTCGGGGACAGAATTCGCGGGTGCAAGAGTCTCGTTTGCGGACGCTATTTTCAATTCGTCGTCTTCCTCTTGGAAATGCTTGAGCGGGTAGAGAAACCATGGCTGACTTGGTGACCTGCAGACAGAAAGAGAAGAAAGAACAAGCGATTCCGACTCTCTTACGCGTCGCGCCAATGCTTGGAAAACCGGCTCATCCATCGTTTTCGAATATGTGCTGCTCAGTACGCCCGTCGCCCGCCGGATAGCGCGATCTGACTAGTCGTCCTTCCTTATAGCATCTCTCAGAGTCCAGAAAGAGGCAGGTTCCCCCGATCGATCGAAGGGGTCTCCGAGTATGGCTATCATCATCTCCCCACATGTCCCACAACGTAAAAAAAGATGTCGTTAGTAGAGGGGAGCATCGCAAAAGAAGAGGAAAGAAAGAAAGAAATTATCCACGTTCTGCATCGTTTCGTTTTCGAAGACTGGGTTTTCTTTTCCGGGGCGCTGGATCTGGGCCGATTTTTTCAATGCCTCGCAGAAAGTGAAATCGTGATGCGCACGCCTCAATTCACCGACAAGTGGCCTGCTGCTCTACTCTGCATGCAATCCCCTATCTCCGTTTCTTCGATCTATTTTTGTAGGGCGAGTACTAGGAGAGATAAAGTTAACCGCGTTGCTAAAAAAAAATTGGCGGAATACAAGTCAACGTCAATGTGAGATAACATTTGCAAACCCTCGCTTCGTGTCGCTGAACGCGATCATACAATTTACACTTTATTAAACAGGATTCTCATTTCAATACTTTGTTAATTACCCATCAGCCTCGATTGCAGCCCGACAACGCTCCGGCATACTCTCAACGAGCGCTTGAAATTCAAACTCGCCGACCTTTTCCCACCCATGCTCAACAGCCGCACGCAACTGATCGTAGCTCATGCGAGGGACCTTAAAGGTATTGATCGATTAAGCTTAGTTTCCGTAGTGGGTCGGAATACATAACCGCTGTACCTACCTACCTACTCAATACTATCAAGCTTGCTCCTTAGTAATGAAGTTTTTTGTTCCTCCTATTGTATCTGATCTACCGGTAGCTATACTGTTCCAGCGTAGTGTTCTTTTATTTTCAGCTCACGCGCCAGATTGTTCCTGTTCGTTAGATTGAGAAGGTACTGATAGAATCTATTGGAAACCATCAAGGTCGCTCTTTAGTAATGAAGTTTTTTGTTCCTTGTCATAGCCAATCTAGCTATGCTGTTCCGGCGTGGTGTTTCTTGTATTTTCCAGCTCACCTGCCAGTGTGTTACTGTTCACAAGAATGAGGAGGTAGTGCTGGCTTTTGTGGCATATTTTTTTCTTCTTTCTATTAAGATTAGCTTTTTTTTTGGCTTTCAAACGAGCAAGAGGCCTTTCGTTTCTCAAATGCTGTCAATCCAATCTAGCACAATATCGGTAGTCTTAATCGTACGAGTATAATAATTGATGACTACCCGTCTGAAAATAGTTAAAACATAAATTTTTATATCAACGTCAGCCGGCTCCGAACATCGGCCCTCGAATGTCTTATCCATCAAAGAAGAAAGAGATCCCTTCCACTTCAAAACGGCAGTTAAGTCAAGGCGTTAAGGCATGCGAGTCACGGTTCCACCATGTTCGAGGCATTGGAGAATATTGGCCCGTAGGATTTCCGACTCTTACGTTTCAAGCTTATCCTTATCAGATCGAGGAGGTTTGGTACTCTGTAGGCGTACGAGAAGAGAAGATCCAGGGAAAATTTTCGGAAGGAAGGTATTACGTACGTTACAAAGCTTGTCTTTATCAGATCGAGGAGGGCTAGTGCTCTCTAGGCGCACACGACGAAAGGGTACAGGCCCGGAAGATTTTCTGAAGGATGGAGTTACTTTGAAAAGTTTTTCCTTATCAGATCGAGGTGGTTTGGTACCTCTGGAGGCGCACGACAAGAAATGGTTCGCGAAGAGTTTCTGAAGGAAGGTGTTACGTTGTAGTATGGCGTGTGATTGGTGAGGTCCCACTTTAGTCTCCAATTTCTTGTGGATCCGGAGGGGGTCCGCGCTGGGATCAGAATCCGCAAATTGATAGCTTCTTTGCTCAAGGCCTATTTATAGATATGGGGAGCAATATGCCTGCAGCTATGATTCGAGTCGTGCTATCGTTTAAGTGTACCTGAAGAAAAGGGCGTTGTAACAAGCTAATTTGTGAGGGTGTTGAGGGACGCTTTGATGTGATGTGATCATGCCGACGGGATAACGGGATGACGCGAAAAAGTAAATAAAGGTCTCGCTTAGTCCTTCCAAAGCTTAACGACATCACCCTGTCGATCTGCCTTTTCTCTCGAGGTCCACCCCATCCTTCCTAGGACTTACGTAGTACGTAGTCGTAAGTACCTATTGACTCGCTCTGCGGCTATTGAATCCATCCTACCCTTGTTTTGGTCCATGAAAGATCTTTTGCAAATGCCCCTCACGCCAAGTTCTGGCTCCCCAGTAAATCCAACTGGCCAACAAATATGATCAGCGGCACTCTCACTGATCTCCTGAATGCGTATCCGGAGTCCGACTCCTAGAAATTGTTCCTTTTTAGGCGAATTTTCATGTCTGCCGCTGCCAATTTAGGTTGGACTTGCTATATACGTACATGAGACTCTCGCAGACTCCCAGATTGCAAGCTTTGGCCAGGGTCAAGCTTCTTTTGACCCTAGATTGCAGGCAATGCAAGCCGGACGGGGGGCAATAAAGGCTGGGCGAAGATGGAATGTCCAGTGCCAAGATGCAAAGAAGAGATGGTTGGCTTGGCGGTCCACACCGGTCGTCAATCTAGGATCGTCGACTTTGCACATAAATACACCTTGAATTCCCGATGTCTTATTCTTTTTTCGCCCACATCAGAATCCACCGTCGACTACTACGGATCTTCCTTCATGCCTTCAAATTCGCCCAGGGCACTGTTCCGGCGTCAAGCTGCGGCTGACTCTTGCGAAATTCCAGAGATTTCGGATACCTACGACACTGCCCTTCATGTCGGAGCTCTCTTCATCATCCTAGGAGTATCATTCTCGGCATGTCTGGTCCCCATCGTTGCAGTGAGGATACCGAGACTTCGAATCCCACCTAACTTCCTGTTCGTGGTACGGCACTTCGGAACAGGCGTACTGGTTGCCACTGCACTGGTGCACTTGTTGCCCGAGGCCTTCGGCTCGCTAACCGATCCGTGCCTTCCATCTTTCTGGAACACGACTTACCCTGCTCTCCCTGGAGCTCTTTCGATGGGTGCGATTTTCATGATTATCGCTGTGCAGATGGTACTCAGCCCGGGCCAGAACTGCTGCGCGATGCCTACGGCCATTATCGAGTCTAACGGGGTGAACAATGCCGGGGATTCTCCATCCGGAGGAGGTGCCTGCATGAATAGAAACAGTTCGTGCTCGAGTCTACTGAATGCCATAATTCTTACATCCTTCAGGGTCCGAACCAGGAGCTATTCATGGCCGAGACGGCAGCACTGGAAGGCAGCTGCAAATGGTTACCGCTTACAGCGAAAATCTCGATGCCCTCGAGCGGCTTCAACATTACCAGAAGAATGAAGCAACGACCGGCGTTCTAGCCCGCACAGAGACTGCCAGCCCAGAACAGAAACGCAAGAAAGACACGATGCAATGCGTGCTGCTAGAGATGGGAATCCTATTCCACAGTGTTTTCATCGGCATGGCGCTCAGCGTGGCGACGGGGAGCGACTTCATCGTTCTCCTGATCGCCATCTCGTTCCATCGTGAGTAGTTACATCGTTCCAGCCATCGCCGGACCAGAAGCTGATAAGATCAGAAACCTTTGAGGGGCTAGCACTGGGATCTCGCATCGCTGTCTTGTCGTGGGGGCCCGGTGCTTGGCAGCCATGGCTGATGGCGCTAGCCTACGGCTGCACGTATGACCCCTTCCCTGCCCTTACTCCCTACCGGTGACTATCTAACGCGTCCAGAACTCCTGTTGGTCAAGCAATTGGTATCGCGACACATTCGCTATACAGCCCGGAGTCCACGACCGGGCTACTCCTCGTGGGAATCATGAATGCCATCTCCGGTGGCCTGTTGCTCTGGGCATCGTTGGCGGAGTTGTTGATGGAGGACTTCCTCAGTGATGAGAGTTGGAGAATCTTGAATGGGTGGAAGAGAGTGATTGCTTGTCTGTTGGTGCTGTTGGGTGCCTTCGGCATGTCGCTGATCGGTGCTTGGGCATAGAAAGTATCGAACTAACCGAGAGCTTATATCATGACCCTTGCTGGCTGACCTCGGTCCGGCCTCAACTCATGTGGTTCTACGACTCGCACTCGCTGAGCTTCTAAGCTTGCGACAGCATACTTCGCTTTGCTGCCTTGGTTTCTACCTCGGAGTAAAGCTTTCTCTTTTTGTGATCTATCCTACCTATGAGGGAAGGGCGCAGCCGACAGCAGCGGCGCTGCTCTGTCTCGAAATGCTTTCTAGGGCCATCTTGTATGTAACTCCTTAGCTTAGCACGTCGCCGTACCCCATAGGAGGTCCTAGGGCGGCAGGCAAAACCCGCCACTCGCCCGACGTAATTGAATACTACTACTACTACTGCTGCTGCTGCTGCTGCTCCTACTCCTACTATATCATGACCCGATTGAATTCAGATCCAGTCGGCTCTCTACTCCTACAAAAACAAAAAACTTATTAGATTCATAAATAGAACAACACAGTAAAACATTAGGGCATTCGATCCATGGCGCTATGATAGAGTGATGATGAGAGACTTCAACGCCTAGCCGTGACTACGTAGTTAGATCGTAAAAGATCGTAATAGCTTGGCATAATCAAACGATCCGCTCGACCTGTCTCACGGGAAGAGAGTCATCCTTGTCAAATTTGCGAATTTTTTGCAGTTTTTCGTTCCTTTCTTTCCATATAATGTTTCCCAGCTCGCGTAGCCAGCCGTACCTTAAGCGAGGAGATCTGCTGAAAGTCACCTACCTACCTATCTGATTTGAAAAATCTGACAGAGAATGAGGGTAATACCCTCGCCGTAGCAGGATAGTTACGAGCCCGAGTTCTTTCCCCTGCGAAAAACTATTACATTCCGCACCGGTTCGATACCCCAGATAAGTTCCCAGGTCACGACGGCGAAGTTTCTGCCGCCCTCGCTTACTGCACGTGGGGTATGTAAGCAGGTACGCCTACGCCCGTTGCGGATCTTCATCCATCCTACATTCCAGAAACTAATTAAAAGCAAGCGAGATGTAAGGAGCTGAGTTAAATCTATACGGAGGTCTGTCTATACTAGGTATACAGCTCTTTACAGTACAATCGCTGCTCTGGTCGAGGAGGGGCAAGAGCAAACCATCAATGAGTGCATACCGGTACACCTACCTATTTATCTTACCTCCTTATCTTATCTTATCATTGGATTTCCGATTAAAGCCATCAATCATGCCATCTATAAACTTACTGCTGTACTTCATCTTCCAACAGATACAAAGTAGATCTGAACCCAATCAGCCTTCACGATTTCTCAGTAATAATAACTTAGACTCTTTTTCAACGCATTATTAGCCATCTCCTCGCTTTTTTTTTTTTTGGCATGCGGTAAGTATCACCCACAAACACGGAATACAATACCAAGACCTCGAAGTCTTTCTGCACTTCGACGAGTATTTCCAAGTATTCTTAAGCACGCCGGCTAAAATCTTGAAGTCGCTAATTACCATCTGCGCTCTATCGAGCAAGGCCTCGAGAGATTGAAAGGCTAGCTAGCTAGCTTATTACAAGCCCAACTAGTTGAAGAAAAGAACGAAGGGAAAAAAAGGGAGATTGAGGAGACTTGAAAAGGAGGGTCATGAGACAAGGATCATTTCAGCATCCAGAAATTAGAAATCAATTTCCATTTTCAATTCTCAAAGATCTCATCTCCGCCCGCAAGCCACGCTTTCCAAACGAGGGCGGGAATCCGGAGAACCAGACCGACGTTACATGATACCACACGCCGAAACAAGCCCCATCACAACAAATTAAATCAATCGGTGTAAATGCACATTATGTATAATACCTAGGGCCCGCGCCCAGTTGCAAGATATCTGTCGTCCTGTCAAAAGAAAGACAGCGGTCGTTATCAAAGGGCCTGGGGCCGGTTGAATGTCCTGGGCTATTCTATTCTGTGTGATTCTATTCCTATTTCTATTCCGTTTTCCTATCCAATCCCATGGGTGGTAATCGCAAAAAAATGGATGATTGATAAATCCCCGTGCTTGGAATTACGGACTTGCAGAGTTCCTTCGGTAAAGAGTTTGCGGAGATGTACAAAACATAACACATAGGAAAACCAGTGGGAAGTAAAAGTATAGACAAGATCACGACGTGGAGAGGACTAAAAAAAAAGTTTGAAGAAAGTTCGATAGAGGTACTCTCGATTTGAAGTCCACATTGCCTGCTCTGATTTCATTCTACAGCAAGCCCATATTTTTTCAACGCCAAGACCCCCTCCAGCACCAAAATTAAGTATCCGAATAAGCACCTCTTCTACTTTCTCCTCTTCCCGCCTCCACCGGCACCAGCCCCCTCGCCATCACCCTTACGTTTCTTTCCCTCCTTGCGCCAATACTCCTTCGCCTCCTTCTTCTCCCTCTCCCCCCTCTTCTCTTGGTTCTCCTCAACCTTCTTCCGATACGTTTTCCGCGTCTCCTCCTTCTTGGCCCGCCTTTTCGCATCTTTCTCGTTGCGCAGCGTCATGACCTTCTGCATCAGGTCCCGTGCCTTTTTCTCCTCGCCGCCAATGACCACGGCCCGCTTCTGCATGTACGTCTGCGTCTTCCGCTTCTTGTTCATCACGATCTGCGACTTGAACGGCAGGTCGGCAGCCAGCGCGCGCGGTACACGCAACGGATTGAAGTGCCGAGTCGCACGCTCGACGGGCTTGTACTGGCTGTTCGCCTGCTGCGGTGTCGGCAGGTTCTGGGCCCGGCGTACCTCACCCGTAAGACGCATACCCTCCCACCCGATCAGGTTCGTGACGGGGTTGTAGAAGCGGTGCGGCTTGATGGGGTACCAGGCGCGCAGGAACACGATATCACTCATCAAGATCTTGTCCTCGAAGGTGGCGCGGAAGTGACCCTCGGGCTTGCTGAGCGCCCGTTTGATCTGGCCGCGGATACCGGACACGGTCTTGATAGAGGCGCCTTCAAACTTGGCGATCTCGACGGCCGTGGTGAACATATCTTTGATGAAGGCTGTGTTCTTGAAGATCTTGGTCGGTGTCCCGGTGAGCTTCAGTTTCTTGACGATCTCTGTTGCTTCGTCGACGTTGAGCACCGTGCCCGTGGCCGCGATGCGGAAGGCGGGGTTCTTGGACGAGAAGGTCTGGTAGCATGAAAATCCAGTGTTGGGCGCGATCAGTGGGCCGTAGAACGTGCCAAAGCAGTGCATATGCTCCGGCGTGTATTTCAGCATGCGGTTGCGCACCCGCGAGTCGGATATGCTGTATACGGGCATGGTCTGGAACCGGCGCCAGCCCAGGGAGAAAATGAGCGGGTCGTTGGTCTTAAGGATCTTCTTGTGCCATCTGTGGCGCTTGATGCGCACCTGCACAAAGCCGTAGCGATCCTCTGCTGCGGAGAGGCCACCGACGATGATGGGCATCTTGGGGTTGAACTTGGTGACAAACTCCGAGGGAACAGATGCGAGTACTATTTTGGCGTACATACCTGCGCGGAAACCCTCAACATTTACACGCTGATTTTCCTCCAGCAATTCGAACTCAGCTTTGTTGATGTCGAGTTGTTTCTGGATCTGGGCTTTTTGCGCATCGTACCAGTCGTCCTCACCGAATTCTTCCTCTCCCCCCCCTTCTCGACGCGCTTTGGCTTTATCGTTGTTAAAACCTTCGCGATCCTCTTCTTCGAAACGGAGTTTGAGTTCTTCTTTGCGCTTGGCGTTCTTCTCTCGTTCTGCCTTGAGGTCGTCCGGCTTCTGTTCGTTTTCCTCCTCGGCTTCGAGGTCTCGGAACTCGCCATCTCCCTTGTCGTCTGAGTCCTCTCCGTCCCCGTCATCACTGCCACTCTCCTCGTCCTTTTTCTCGCTTAACAGATCCGCTGTAGCGAACCGCCGTCTCAAACCTTCGATCAGGTCTCCAGTAGACCATTTGGCTTCCAACGCATCGTAATCGAGTATCGGTATCGCCCGGTCCTCGATCTTCTCGTCCGAGTCATCATTCCCGGACTTCTTGAAGAAATTATCCTCGTCTGAATCGTCCTCAATATCCTCTTCATTATCCTCTTCTTCTCCACGCCACTTGCTCAATACTTCTACAGGTGTCAGGCTTTCGTTATACATCATTTTCGCAAGATCAGCTGTCCGGTAGGATCGCTTTTTGCCATTGAGACGCTGCGCAGTCTTGAGCATGTTTCCCTTCCATCGAAGAGCCCCTTCCTCGTCTGAGTCGTCCTCTTCTCCTTCGAATTCGTCCTCGATGTCATCCTCTTCATCCTCTTCCCCAGATATCGAGCCCAGATCCGAGTCACTGTCAGCAAAGGCTACCTCACCCTCAGTCTTATCTGCTGATTTTCGGAAAGCCTTGCCCATCCTATCTTCCGTGATCTCTGCTTCGTCCCCAGAATCCGGCTCCTCCCCGCTAACGAAACCCTCATCGTCCAGGTTCCCTTCGTCCGACTGCTCCTCTTGCTCAACGAATCTCGCCGATCGATGTGCTTTACGCCCAGAGTCTTCTTCCTCGTTCATTACCGCAGTTCCGCCCCCAAAAAGTTGCAGACCATCTTCCGTGGCGCCCAAAGTCTTCCGCTCGTTCTGGAGTCGGATAATCAGCTCCTCGCCCTCTCCACGGGTCTCCTCGTCACCATCCTGGTTGAAATTGAAGCCTTTCTCTCGCGTGATATATATCGTGTCTCCATCAATTTTCAATCCGCTCTTATCAGACATTGGCGCATGTAGCTTCTTCTCCTTCTCATCCAGTCGTCTGCGTCCCGTCTTTCCCGAAACCTTCGCCATCTCTCGGTCCATGTATGGTGTCGGACACGGATCTGGTAGCGCTTCCATAGATGCGATCGTGTAATCTCCCAATCCTGGAATATGCACTCTCTGACCCTGTGCTGAGAAATTCGTGCCTCGCAGATACCCGGAAAGAGAAACAGTTCTGTCGCATTTCGCATCCTCCTCGATCTTCGTAGGATGGGTTATATCGCGGAAACTGTCGATAATCGTGTACGGATGAGAATTCCTCCAGATCAAAGGTCGCGGGTTCTTCATGACCGAAATAAACCTGGACATATTATGAATCTCGCGATCAGGATATCGGCCATTGATAACTCCAGACAGGTAGAACAAGTGTGCGCCTTGGTATAATTCGCTCCAGAATCTGTTCTTCAGTCGCTTTTTCGCATCCTTGAGCGTCTGAGGTTTCCGGAAGAGATCTAGATGTGTGAGAATTCCAAAAACATTTCCAGGCATACCACTAGAAGCCAAAATATTCAGGAATTCCATAGTCTCCATTTCGAAGCCAAAGTTTCCGTCGATCATCAGCAGGATGATGTCTGCCACCTTGGACATGTCCACCATGGCTTCGAGTTCATTCGGACATTCTAGGAATGTCAATCGTTGTCGCTTCGAGGTCACCACGGTGATGGGTCCTTGGGGGTCGGAGAGGGTTTCCTTCGCATATCTTTTGACAAGGGATTTGAGGAGGGTTGTCTTGCCTACGCCCGGAGGACCGACGATAGCAACAAGTCGTGGGGGAGGTTCTTCGGGGATTCGATCGACCTGGGGAACATGGAGGCGTTTTTCTTTGAGCTGGCAGTTGTTAGTAGACCTTCCAGGTGACTCGCGATCCCACATACATCGTGCGATCGAGCAGCAGATTTGGCCAATCTTCCTGGATTCGCATATGCGAAGGCTTTGGGGTTCTTGTCTGTCGAGAATTTAGCTAGGCGTATCGAGAGTTAATGGGCCGAGCTGACCTCCCACATGCTTCGTCTTCTTCTTCTCCTTAGACGGCCTATGCGCCCTGTTATTTTGTTCCTCCATACTGGGGTGAGTGGCGATTGCGAATAGCGTCGATTCCGCGGCTCGAGGCTCGGAAATACCGCGATAATTTTTCCTCCATGTTCAGGCGCTTTCGAAAGTTCTGCCGGTTTTGATTGATTATTAAGCCGATTTTCTCTAGCAAGCCTTAGAAGGCGGTGAGAGCCTGACCTGACCCCGCCTCCGTGTATTTACTTAACGGCTGACCTTGAGCGCTTCGCCTCGGCCCAAAAAAGGGGGGCCTTCTGAGGCATTTCTGTATCCTTGACAAGTGGAAGCTTAAAGAGAGCTTCAGTACCGTATAGTTCTACTATTGGATGTGGTTGGTTGTCCGGCTTCGTTCTTCTGCCCGGATGACGTACCCTGTAGTGAGCGAGCGAGCGAGTTACTGCTCCGTAGGCAGTCGCGGGGTCCTTGCTGGGCATCATCGTGGGTATAAGTTTCCAGAGTTTCCGGTTCTCAATACCTCACTTCTTCCATTCTATCAAGCAGCTTTTCTGTAAACAAGCTACGTTTACCTACACGCTACTTAAAGCTCCATCATCATTTCCATACAAACCGCTTTACTTCACAGCTTCAAAATGGCAGAAAAGATCAGACACATAGTAAGTTGACCGACCAGCAAAGGAGGGCTCCCTTCTATTTACGTCCACTATTTGGGGTACCCTGAGCTTACAAAATCCCTCGCAGGTCAACTGCAAGACGAAGGAAGATGTCGAGCCGTACGTCTGCTCTACGCTATTCTAATCGATGGTCTGAATCTAGGACGAGAGTTGATGTTGATATTGAGAACAGAGCCAAGAAGTTGGCCATTGAGCAAGGAGGAACCATTGTCGATACATTCACTCTCATCCCCGCCTTCGTGTATGTTTTCATCCATCTCTAATGCCGCCACCCTACGCAGATCTATGCTTACTATCATCTATCTACCCAGTGTCGAGATGCCCGCGGATGCCGTCACTACGCTCGGGAGCAGTCCACACGTCGAGTCTGTAGAGGTGGATGGGGTAGTCAAGACCCAATAGATTGGTGGATATGCCTTGTTGTCTGTTGACATGGCTGGGAGCTAGGCGAGGGTCGGGATGGATCATGGGGGACGAGATCATGGTAGACCTTTTGCCCAGGTCTGGGCTTGTTGCTTGTAATGCGGCTATGAAATTGATGACTTCCACCTACGCCTTAGCGAGGACTTGATCGTAAACGGAATGGAAACACATAAGCAACGTATGTCTCATATTGGTATACCTTGGGAATTCCGAAGGGTAGTTAGTGGCTTCACGTTGGCTGTTGTCACGGCTCACTACAATATGATCTTAGCCTCACTGAAGATTGCTATCCCACTCCTGATAACAACTCTCGGAATAATTTCCACGACCCCAATGCTACCATGATCCCCCTCACACGACCATTACGGTCTTGCAAAGGTAATTTTCAACCCGTCTCTTTCTTGAGACGTTTCGCGCAATCCGCCAGCTTTGCGCGACACCCATCGCCCTCGGCGCACAAGTGGTCCCATCCGCCGAGCACAACCTCCATCGCCGACGATGAGGTAGCGAAGCTCGCAAGCAAGCCATTGCATTCTCTAAGCCTGGCAGACTTGGTGAGGTACGCACTCATCCACATATATGCCCGCTTATTGCCTCTCTTCTGACCCGCTCTACAGACAAGGGCGGCCACCTTTATCTAAAGAAGCGTTATTCTCCTCTGCGAACTTCACCCTCTCACTCCTCCCCGTCCGTCTCGCGCACCGGATACAGGCCCTGCGCAACCTCCCATACATCGTCGTCTCAAATTCCAATATCTCGAGCATATACAACAACTACCTGCACTCCTTATCGACGCTGCTGCCCTACAACTCAAAGACCATTTCCACCTTTGAAGACGAGGCTCGATTCACAAGTGTATTGTCAGACCTGGTAGAGACGCATTCGCACACCATTCCGACTCTAGCACGAGGATTCCTAGAATGTCGGAAATACATAAACCCAGAAGTAGTCACCCGCTTCCTGGACGAGCACCTTCGGGCTAGGATCGGGACGCGATTAGTCGCCGAACAGCACATCGCTCTGCACCTCTCCTCTGAGCCGCACCAGGACCCGAAATTCCAGATTCCCGAGGCGCATCCGCAGTCTTCGTACATAGGGGTTATAGACACCGCTTTACAGCCAGCCTCAATCATCAATTCATGCGGGAACTTCGTCTCGGAGATCTGTGAGCTAAAGTACGGGGTCCGGCCATCATGGGTCATTGACGGGGAGCCAGGCACGACATTTGCGTTCGTGCCGGTCCATCTAGAATACATCATCACGGAACTCCTGAAGAATGCGTTCCGGGCTACAGTTGAGTCCGGAAGATCTCACGAGCCGGTAGTTATCACCATTGCAGCCGAACCGGAGTCTTCACGTACCCCCATTGCTCCCGCTCCCGGAGGCGTGAATCCAGTAGACTACAACCCGCCTATCAAACCTTTTGAGGATCCAGCGCCTGGGGTGACGATCCGTATCCGGGATCGTGGGGGAGGCATCAGTCCTGAGGTGATGCCGGATATATGGTCGTATTCATTCACGACCTTCTCAGACGACGATCTGCCTGATGGAAGCGGCAGTATGGACGCGCTGAATGCACTGTCCGGCCCTGGCGGCGGAGAGGGGAGCTCCATTGCCGGGCTGGGATATGGGTTGCCCCTCGGCAGGGCATATGCTGAGTACTTTGGGGGTGGTATCGGCGTGCAGAGCTTATATGGATGGGGCACCGACGTGTATCTCCGTCTGAAAGGGTTAGGTAGGCCGAAAGGCTGAACCTGATCAAATCGATGGTATTGCGTCTAATGGTCATGCGTGGCTTCTCGAAGTAATGCTTGTTTGGTTCGGCTGAAATAAAACAAAAGAGCCTGCCCTCCTTCCTCCACCTGTGGAATATTCAGCCATCACAAAAATCTCTCGTTGCAATTATTCGAAAACCCCTCCTTGAAAGGTTTAAGCGAGGCGTGCTATAAATTAAGCGAATACTCACCTAACTATCCGTACCGTCTATCAGCCAGTACTCTCTATATGCGCAATATCGTATTCTCCTCCAACTATTCTGACATACGACAGCATGTTTCCCTTCCGTTGTTTCTGTCTATTTATCTACTTTTCAATATCCATATCCATATTCATATCCATATCCATATCCATATCCACATCGATGTCGGCCATCCTGTTCTTGACCAGCCATAGCAAATAGCGGATTAGGTATGATATATGAGGAAGGTCACTGAAGCGGTAAAACTCATTTTCTGTCAGACGAAAGATGGCAGGGTCTCTGAGTAGGAGAGAAGAATGTACGTCTGGGCCTTTTTTTGAGAGAGAGAGAGAGAGATTGCGGATTGGAGGTTTGTTTTGAAGAAGGCCAGAAGTTTGGACTTGGCAGAACTGTTGGAGCACGGTCACCACGCCCCATTCAGTCATTAGTGGCGTGGTATCGTTTTATTGCATATCAATGATGGATGTGTCTTGGTGTCCAGCTCGCTCCAGCCACGGACGGTTTGCAGGCTTCATACAGCCCATCCCCCCTCAAAAGCAGGTGCGGCCTTCACCATACGCTGGCTGATACATACATGTCTTCCCCGATGACTCGCAGGAACTGGAGGAGGGACCCCATAATCACGAAATCCACATGTGAAGCTGTCACAAGTCAAGTCAGTCAGCCAGACCAGCCCAGCCCAGTCACATACTCTCTCTCTCTCTCTACGAGACCCACGTGGGAAACCTGACCAACCAGTCTCGCCCATGACAAACGAGCCTCTCTCCCCCTCTCCAACAGCGTCCCCCATTGCTTTGGTAGCCGGCAAAGCCGCAATCCAGCACTCCTCGCCGGCCCTCCTCGCTCTGGAACTATACCAAACTCTTCCCCAGCTTCCCTTCGCGCGCTTCGCGCGTGCGGTGGAGATACCCTCTCGAGCCTTCACTCAGCAAAGTTGACGGGCACGCGCGGTTGCCACTCCGACCGGCCGGAGCGGCTCTTGGATGGGGGGAAATGAAGGAAGCTGTAGACTTCTGGGAGGAAGGGGAAATCTAGATGCAGAGAGGAGGTGGGGTGCTCGGTGTCGAGACGTAGAGCTAATGGTTTGCGAATCCATCAAGTAGGTTACTCGCCGTTGCTGTCTGGTTTGACACTGATCGATGTTTAATCTTTTTTGGAATCTGGATCCGGGAGGGAGCCAGGCTCGGGGGAGGTTGTACGCACTGGAGGCTGAGAGTTGCTTTGATATCGGGATACTCGGCCCAGGTGGTTTTGCAGTTAGTCTATGCCTTTGTAGTTGAGAGCCAAACGAGCTGGATCAGAAGCGAGCATTTGTGGTGCTTGTTCCGAGGAAATGGTTAGGTAGTACTCTTCCATGGATTGAGGGACCAGCAGAAACATCGCCCTTTGCTTGGGAGGTCATAATAGATGAGCTTTGAGATGTTGGAAGAGATGTGGTAAGATATTTTGAAATCTGGAGAAGTGAATGAAAGAGAAAGACATGATAAGAACGAGATGCACCCTACGTATTAATTACCTAAATCACATTGCTTGGTAAAAGTAGCTCTCCGACGTCAAAGAAATAAGTATCTTACAGTCGCCGTTCCTGGATGTCACCACGCGGCGTCATGGATCACAAGGTATTAGTCTTGAAGCAGAATATGCTCTTGATCAAAGATCACACCTCTAGGGATTTGAAATCTCGGTTTACACGCAGATGGACGGCGGGGTCAGCAAGTGAAGTTAATTTAACTCTGAGCCTACTTAAGATATAAGTCAGGTGACTAGGCTAAATTAAATAGCACTTCAGCCTTGCCCAGCATCGACCTCATCGACAATCCAAACTCACCAAACTCTACAACTACAACGCATCGCTGCAACCATGGGCTCCGTCGTACTTCCTCATCTCGTCACCGGCTGGCACGTCGACCAAGCCATCATGTCTGAAGAAGAGCGCCTCGTCATCATCCGATTTGGCCGCGACTGGGATCCCGACTGCATGCGACAAGATGAAGTCCTCTATCGTACGTCCGCCCTTTCTCTTCAGATACATCTATTAACTTCCCCTATTAACTTCCCGACAGGTATTGCCGACCGTGTCAAGAACTTCGCCGTCATCTATGTCTGCGATCTCGACCAAGTCCCCGACTTCAAACAGATGTATGAGCTTTACGACCCCGTCACCCTCATGTTCTTCTTCCGCAATAAGCACATGATGTGCGATTTCGGGACCGGCAACAACAATAAGCTCAACTGGGTGCTGGAGGATAAGCAGGAACTGATTGATATCATCGAGACAATCTACCGTGGCGCGAAGAAGGGTCGTGGTTTGGTGGTTAGTCCCAAGGACTACTCCACGAGGTACCGATATTAGTTTCCGATACTAGCTTCCGGAGATGCCTTGATATTTGGGTGGGGGAGAGAGAGGTCTTGACTCTGGCGTTATCGAGGGATGGGAAGAGTTTTTCAGCGAAAGGGTTGGTCTCACCAATAAATTCTCTACATGGACTCGAAGATGCTAATGCTTAATGAAGACGTGATACCGCCGCTTCCAGGTACGTCGTGCCCGATACTGACCGATTTAGTATACTATATGTGCTTTCAACCACCACAAACACCAGCAATGTCTAGGGTTTGACGCTCAAGTGTGTTGTATCAACGTCTAAGTCTAGGCCCGCCGGACATCACATCCAATACTTGCGATTTTTTACATCAATCTCTCTGGATTTTGCGAAGTATTGCTTTGCTTTCTTCCCCTTCGCCTAGCGAGACAACGGTTGCTCAGCCTGTCATACCCTACCAAGTGCCTTTTGACTGCGTTATACTTTCCATGGAAGATATTTGCGCAACTTCACATGCCTTAGCTTGATCCTGCAATTACCATTGTGCCTCTAATCTGGCTAAGTAGGCAGGATCTTTTAGGTGTCTTTTCCTCTTGGTTTGACATGAGTTCTAGAGTGACTCTTCTCTTGCAGCGAATTACTATTGTACCCAAGTCACAATCAATGGTATCAGAAGGCGAATCTATTCTGCTTTGGCTGACAGCTTACCTTGGGGACTTGACCAGCGCACCATAAAAGGCTAAAGCTGTGTGGTCTTGGTTTTGTATGATCATTGAAAAGTCTTTCGTAATGGGCAAGTCGATTGCATTGAGTGGCCGCGCGGCTCAAAACCCGACTCATAATAATACGGATATCAAGGTTAATAGCAGTTCCAATCAATGACGCGTCCGCTTGTGGCAGCTGCCAGGAGTGCTGTCTTCTTCCATAGTGAGTGACGGCCGCAATTTCTGTCATGTGCTGCATGGTCCAGGATCTTTCGAATCCAGCCTATACTCCGTACAGTTCCATTCTTACCCAGGATCCCAGGCGCCAATAGTGGGTCCCCTCTCTATACCGTATTTGAAAGCACTGATCGTCTCTTCAATCTCTGTATCTCCTTCAGCATCGCTCACGAGTTGCTCGTTCTGTTCTGTATATGATGGAGTTGGTTGGGCTTTCGGTATTACTTTGTCACTGTAGTATAAGATTTCAAGGGGGGAAAAAGGGGAGAAGGGGGGGAATAAGAAATTGAATCATATTTTATTAGTATGATTTGTGAATTTTATATCGACATATTTTCTCGGACTTGTTTGTTTCTGACCGGTAACTGACTGCGGGTACTTATGGCGTGTGACCCGCCTCCCTCTTTCGAATTTCTTTTCTTGATCTGCTTAGCCACTACTATTACCGCCGCCGCTATACTACACGATACTATACTGTATTATAACATATTGTACGATACTACTACACCTAGCAACCCACTAAAAGCAAAAGGGACGGCAAGAAACTAACTAGTATTTTCTACGGACGGTGCCGAGGGCGAAACATACTACGTAGTACCTAGCCAGCGGCAAAGCAAGCTGGATAGCAAAGGTCTCGTGAGGAATGAAGAAGCGAACAGAATAAAATGAAACGAAATATAAGCTTTCTATTTGTCAAAGCTAAAACCGATATATTCTGTAATGCGATAGCTAGGTATGTGCGGGATTTATTAGGTTTGTTTTGTTGACTTGTTGTGATTGGTACGGTAGAGAAGAGGTGATCGGTTTAGTCTGGTAAAGTGCTGTACAATGTCGTATCACAAGAGGTAGCGGGTGGGGGAGGAAGGAAGATTAGGTATAATAATAAACTATATTCTATTATTGGTTTCTTGATAGCTGGGAGACCGGGATTGCAACCGGGACTGGGACTAGTAGATACTTGTCAAAACAAGGAAGCGTTATCGATTACCTATGCTTCTAATAATCATCGTCATAAACAAGGAAACGTTGTCGATTACCATGCCTCTAATTATCATCGTCATGACTCCAAATGCAACGTTGCACCCAGGTCGTGATGAGTTTATTTATGTATTCGCGCGAGCTTAAATCAAGGTCAAGGGTCATGTGGTGTGGCCTTGGCGTTGCCCTCTGAAGAATCTTGCTTTTGGACTTCCTCACCTCTAACAATCTCCCATCTCCGATCTCCCGTCTCTCATCTCTCATCTCTCAAACAAAAAGGATTCCTCTCCTCCGCTCCTCCCGTGACGGCGACGACGATAACAACAAAAAGACGTACCGCTCTGCCGCCCAACTTTGATCATCCGCTTCTTTGCCGCAAGCTTTCCAATCTCCCAATAAGGCCGAGCAAGAAACAAGAAACAAGAAACAGGCTGGCCTGGCCTGGCCTGGCCTAGTTGACTCGCGATCCAATCGAAAATCTGTCGCCTCTACGAGTCAAGTTCTCGGTATTGACAAGTAAGGTGGTGATCCGACCAACATCGCAGCTGCAAGAACGGTATCCGACAAACGTAGCGCGGAATAAATCTGCTTTCTAACCATTAGCGAGACGTCTAACGTGCGCGCCACTCCCATCGATCAATCAATCAATAAAGTACAACACATCGTTGGTTCTCGCCATCTCATCCTCTTCTGCTGCGAAAACCCACATACACTCTGCCTGTTACTCAAGATGTCAAACAAATTCAATATGCGTTAGTATTTCCTCCTATTGTTTGTTCTCTTGGTATGTTTACTTATCTGTTTACTTACTGACAATTCGAAATTAAGACAAGATCCAGCGCCAAGCGCGACAAGAAGCTTGGTATGGCGATTCTTGGAACCCCTTCAAGAAGACCGGCAGCAGATCCAAGACCTGGGCTGCCTCGCGGAACAATGATCTCGAGGCTGCAGGATCGACTAGGGGTATCGATGATATTCACAAATCGCCACTAGCCGCCACCCAAACCGAGCCTATATTCCACTCGAGACAACCCAGCGAAGGCACGGAACACGATACTATTCAGAGGGGTTCGAAGGATAAAGAGTATGAGATGACTAGGGCTCCCCCTGCAGAGTCAAATGGGAAGGTCACGGAAGAAGATAGCGAGGAGACGGTGGTGGATCGTCAATCGACAAGACCCAGAAGCGAGGAGGAGAAGGCACGAAGGAGATTCCTTGGTCGATTCTCAAAGAAGGGCAAGAGCGGGCAGGTCACAGACGGAGAGGATCCAGAGAAGAAGAGAACTTGGTACAAGGGGAAGGTTTTGCCTCACAAGGAGCCTTTTACTCTGCGAAACCAGGTCCAACGGACCCTTTTTAACTCTTGGATCAATATCCTGCTTCTGGCTGCGCCAGTCGGAATCGCAATCAACTATGCGGGAGTCGACAAGAAGGCAGTGTTCGTGGTCAACTTCATTGCTATCATTCCGCTCGCGGCTCTGCTGAGTTTTGCTACTGAGGAGATTGCTCTGCACGTTGGAGAGAGTCTCGGAGGTCTTTTGAATGCTTCTTTTGGGTGCGTGCTCCTCCTCGAAAAATAACAGTCTATACTGACCGAACTAGAAACGCCGTCGAAATGATCGTGGCAATTATCGCTCTGGCCAAGAAAGAAGTAGTCGTCGTCCAGACCTCGCTTATCGGCTCTATCCTCTCCAATCTCCTCCTCGTTATGGGCATGTGTTTCTTCTTAGGGGGTCTCCGCCGCGAAGAGCAATTCTTTAACATCACCGTTGCCCAGACCGCTGCCTCGCTCCTCGCTCTGGCTGTTGGCGGTGTCATCATCCCCACCTGCTTTGACAAGTTTGGCGTCACAGCACCCGTTGCCGACGTGGCTGCGCTGTCTCGTGGAACTGCCATTATCCTACTGGTTGTGTATGTCAGCTACTTGTATTTCCAGCTCAAGACCCATGCAACTATGTTCAACGAGGAGAGCCAGAAAGTCGCCGCGAGACCGCGCAAGCATGCCATTCCTAAGGGTGCTATCTCTAAGAGCATTGCCAAGGCAGGGGGTGTTGGAGCAGGTATTGGCCGCACCACGCTCCCGAACCGCCCGCCCAATGACGAACTCATCAACACGACCGCCTACGAGGACGCAGACGACGAGGACGATGAGCCCCAATTGCACATCCTCACTGCATGGGCCACGCTCGCTGGTGCAACAGCCATCATCGGTCTATGCGCTGAGTTTATGGTGGATTCTATCGGCGCCATTACCCAGTCTGGAGCCATCTCCGTCGAGTTCGTTGGTCTTATCCTCTTGCCAATCGTCGGAAACGCTGCAGAACACGCCACTGCCGTTACTGTCGCCATCAAGGACAAAATGGATCTGGCTATTGGTGTTGCAGTCGGCTCTTCTATGCAAGTCTCGCTGTTCCTGATTCCATTGCTCGTGATCATCGGGTGGATCATGGGACAGGATGCAATGAATCTGAGCTTTGATGGGTTCCAGGTTGCAGTTTTGTTCGTTGCTGTTCTGCTTGTCAACTACTTGATTGCGGATGGAAAATCGCATTGTACGTTCATGGATCTATCTCCTGAGAGTGCTGGGGGGACGCTAACGGTTAACAGGGCTCGAGGGTCTGCTGTTGATGTGCCTCTATATCATCATCGCGGTTTGTGCTTGGTACTACCCTCAGACTGATGCGGCCGGAAACCCCGTTACAGTTGTGGGCTGAACCCCGCGCGTACTCAATCCGACCAGAACGAGCCTGCATGGGCGTTTCCCTCAATCCTCGAAATCGGTCCGCCAAACCCTCTTTGTGATGCACCAACTACCTCGCGTCAGTCTCTTAATACACCTCGCTTCAGTCTCCTGATACGTCTTTCCACCCAATCTCACGCCCGAGGGCATTTTTAAAAAGCAAAATCCGCAAAAGCAGAAAGCAATAGACTAGTATCCAGCTCGATACAATAGATACCCCGGCTGCAGTTCTTCCACTTTGATATTTTTCTTTTTCTTTGCACTATACCCCCAGCTCCTAGGCTTTCGCCCTTGCATATGTAGTTTTTGTAAGGTGTGTTTTTTCTTTTGTCCGAGACTCCAAGAGAGACCGACTGGCGCTTGCATGGGTTTTATTCTTTCTGGGTTCGTATGAATTGCTGCTTGCTGCCACTTGCAGATTCGTAGATTGCCTTTTGCGTGGGGAAAAGGAAAGGGGAAGGGAGAATTGTGTGATGAGAGCTATCGGAGGAAAAAATCAAGGTTGGGGTGGGGTGGGGGAGAGAGGAATGGGGATGGAAAGAAAGGATGGATAGGATGGATATGAGCGACGTTGAAGCTTATTAAGGAATAGAAGTAATGAAGTAAAATAAATAAACGTCTGATGAGATTTTACTCCCTTTTTTTTGGACAAAAAAGGCGGGCGATATTAACGATTTGAAGATTTGAAGATTTGAAGATTTGAAGATTTGAAGATTTGAAGATTTGAAGATTTGAAGATTTGAAGATTTGAAGATTTGAAGATTTGAAGATTTGAGGCGGTTTGTGTATGTGTGTGTGCTTTTTTCATAAGGGGAGGGGGGGGGCGGTTGGAGATTGGAGTTGGAGATTGGAGATTGATCTGTTGGAGAGTATAGGCAGGATATCTGGAAGAGAAGTGGGAGCAGGAGTGGAAGGTTATGGATAGAGGGACTATTTAAAATGCAGAGTCCAGATACAGCTCAGCTCTTGCAGTTGCTGAGGTTCAGCTTCCCCCCTTTTCCTTTTTCGATCTTGTTTTACTTTGGAGAACATTTTCCTGACTTGTAAAGTTGTAGGTGAATAGAGAGGCAGTGCCAAAATCATTTAAACACTGCTCCTGCTTTCCTCCCATGCTCTTTCAACTGCGTCCTTGCCCTTCTTATAATTCACTAACCTCCTACTACGCAACACAGTGTTTTGATCTTCTGGGCTTTCACTGGTTGATATTAGGTCTGAAAGGCTTTGAGCTTTGACAAACAACAGTTACGCATTGCAGCAACCACATTGTGGCTCTCAAGTGCGTACTGTGGCTCTCAGCTTCAATAACGGCTGGCCAGACCTCACCTCGGGTATTTTGGCTCTAATATTCTGGGCTTTAAAAGGAACATTGGCTTACTTGAACTTGTAGAAGACCCATACTACACACAAGACAGGCACCTTCCTCTACCTCCTCTGCCTTGTCTTTGAGCCTCGAAATACATCGAGGTCCCTTCGCCTTTCATATTAGGGACTTTTGTCACCAAAGAAGCTTGAATATACCCTCCTGAACTACTAACTTTCTACAAAAATACTCGTCTTCCTTCAAGTCAACAAACCCTGAACAGGCAGCAACCACACACTCCCATTCGTCATGGCAAGACCCCAAATCAACGAGGACTTCTCGGAGTTCAACCAGACTGATGAGATGGATGTGGACAACGCCCCCACCAGCCAGGGCAGCACTCAAACTGCAGGCTCTGGTCGCTCAATTTTCTCGCCAGCAGCACCAGCCATCTCCCAAGAAGACATGCTGCCTTCCATCGAGCGTGCGACAACCCAGCCCTCTACGCCAGGACTTGACTCTCAGAGTGGAGGTCGGCCGCTAGCTATTCAAAACCTCTTCAGTCAAAGCATATTCAAGAGCGAGGACCGAGAGATGTCCGGCATGAATCTCGGCAATAGCACACCTCATGCATCGACACCTCACAATACCTCAGATATGGAGAATGCGGATGGTGAGAGACAGTATTCGCCTGCCTTGTTCATATCGGAGAGTAGGGGTGAGAGTGAAGGTGCCCCGATGGCTGCTTCGCCTATTTCGCGGAGACGTGCAACTACACAAGAGCATCCACTTCCTTCCACTTCAATCTTCGGTGGTGCTGTTGGTGGTCCAGTAGCTACACCTTCCATTTTTGGAGGCCCGGTTCAAGCACCCAAATCTATTCCAAAGCAAGCTTACAATCCTGCCCCTTTGTTGCGCGATGATGATCATGCAGCAAAACCTGCTCAGCTTGTGATCATCACACCTGAGAACCACCCTGACGATGATTGTATGATCATTGAGGAAGCCGATGCGTCTACTGAGGCAAAGCAGAAATGGAAAAAGCCGTCGAAGGCTAAGAAAGTTGCTCGAGATGACGACGAAGTCGTTTTTGTCAAGGAAGAGCCTATCCATCATGCTGCTTTTCCATCACCCGCACCTGCGGTCCAGCTGTCATCTCCACCACCACCACCCAAGAAGCCAGCCAATGCCTTTGCAGTAGCTAAGATTCTTGCTGCCCAGCAAGCTATGTTTCGTAGCGTCAGAGCGCAGAGCAACGGCGAAGGTCCATCAAGAGTTCAAATCCGGGGTCATCACGCTCAGCCCCTGTCCAGCAGAGGCTCTGACCGATTCGAAGACCCTAACTTCGGCCGCCATGATCCTCAGCATGTTCAAGCCGACGAAGACGACGCTTGGATGATTGAGGAAGAAGGGTTTGATTATGAGTTTGAGAAGATGACCCGCCTCGAAGATTTGCTTGCGAGAAGAGAGCGCAAAGGCAATCTCACCCAAGAAGAGTCGCTAGAGCTCTTCAAGATCCGAAAGCGCCTCGAGATGAAGGAGCGTCTTCGTGCTGCTGCTGCTTCTCGTGATGACGAAGAAAAGTCTCTGCTACTCCCTGCTGAGACGAGAAAGCAAACCGTCCGTCGTCATCGTCGCGATCGACCTTGTCAGGCTGAATCCGAGGGCGTCGAATCTAATATTGAAGACGACGCTGAGGGTGCTTACGATGATCGAGACGAAATCGTTCGCATGATGGCTGAATTGGATGGCCGTGACGCCGAGGAAGAAGACCTTGGTCTGACAAAGTCAGGCAAGCCTCGCAAGCGCCGTGTTCGCCTTGCCAATGGTATTACGCAGTCCCGTCCCAAGGACGCCCGTGAGTACGCGGCTCGGGAGAAGGAGAAGGAGCGCTCTAAGATCCAGAAGAAAAAGGCCCGTCAGCTAGCCGCTCCCGTCACTGCATCGTCCTCCCGCCGCAAGACTGCTCCTGCTGCCGCCAAAGGGAGAGGAAGAGGCAAACGCAGGGAGAAGGAAAAGTCAAAGGCTGCCAATAGAACCGCTAAGGATAAGTCCAGAGGCAAAGGCAAGGGAAAAGACGTTGTCAAGAACGGCTCCAGTTTAATCAGCGCCGCGGGCGGCTTCGCGCAGCGCAACGGCGAAGACAAGATCGGCCAGATGATCCTCGAGGACCTCATGAGCAATGACCCCATCTCCGAGCGCCTGCAAAATCCCGTCTTCAACCGTCCGGCTGAAGCAATCATCTCCGGCCCGCAGGTCAAGAATACGCAGTTCCAGCTACTGTTCGCTAACATCCCCGAGCCGGAGTCCAACGTCGAGAGAGGCGCCATCAAGACTGACAAGGCGAAGCTGCGGGAGGCGAGTCGCAGCTTTGGGTACGCGAAATGCAAGGCGCACGATGGCAAGTGGCTGATCAAGGGGATGAAGAGCCCGTTGTATCATCATCAGCTGCTTGGGGCGCAGTGGATGGTGCAGAGAGAACTGAGCAGTCAAGCACCGCATGGGGGGTTGTTGGCGGATAGTATGGGTCTGGGGAAGACAGTGCAGACGTTGGCTTGTATGGTTGGTAATCCACCTGGTCCCGGTATGTCCCCATCCCTTTTTTGTGATATTGGTCCTCCCCCTCAGATAGTCCTTTTCGCTAAGTCTCTACTCGGTTAACTCGGATGAAATACTGATGAGAAGCAGAGGACATCCAGCGCAAAGTCAACACCACCCTCATCGTCGTCCCGGTCACAGTAATCGAGCAATGGATCGAAGAAATCCGTCTCCACGTCGACGAGAGGATCTTCCCCAAGGTGCTCCACTACAAGACATCCTCGAAACTCGACATCAACATCCTGCAGGACATCGACATCGTCGTGACCTCCTACAATGAAGTCATGAAGCAGTTCCCCTTCCCGGACACCGAGGGCCGACTTGTGATTGCCAAGAACGGATATCAGAAGTGGTGGAAGAGGGCCATTAAGAGTATGGGGGTGCTGCATCAGATCAATTGGTACCGCGTGGTGTTGGATGAGGCGCAAGCTATCAAGAATAACAGCGCGCGCACGAGTCTGGCGTGCCAGAATTTGAAGAGCGTGTATCGGTGGTGCTTGACGGGTACACCTTTACTGAATCGTCTTGAGGAGTAAGTCCTTCGCGTCCCGTCCCAACTCCTTTCCTCCCTTCACAATACTTGACTTAGAGGCCACCCCGAAATCTGGGTACGTGCAAAACGCTGACGAGATCCAAGACTCTTCCCTTACCTCCGCTTCCTCAAGGCAAACTACAGCATGGACTGGCAGACCTTTCAGAAGTACTTCTGCGACCCGATGACCGACATTAGCTACTGTCGCATCTCGACTGTGCTAAGCTACACCATGATGAGACGCACGATGAAGACGACGATTCTCAACCGTCCCATTATCACACTACCACCGCCACATCCGAATATCCAGTACATCAGCTTCTCACCCGAGGAGCAGATTATCTACCGCATTGTAAGTCCCTCGAACCTTTTGGCACTTTGGAATTCCTTGTCTTTGTTCCATTTTCAGCAATCGACAATGGGCCCTTCTAAAGTCACCACATTCATTGGTAGCATTGGGCTCCAGCTAATCGGGAGCCGCAGACCGAGAACCGCTTCCGCAGCAACCTGAATAGCTTCTTCAAGAAGGGTCAGGCCTCCCGCAACTACGGCGTCTTCATGGTCCAACTCCTTCGCCTCCGCCAGTGCACCTCCCACCCTTTTATGCTTGAGCGTACGATCAAGGAGAGTTGGACGACGGAGGACCTGCATGAGTTACAAAGCGGACTTGGGAAGCTGAAGAATAAGGCCAAGCCCTTCTACGAGCAGTGCAAAGTGGTACGTCCCCGCCCATTCCCGGCACTTCGAAGCCTCCGTTCACCCTCTGTCCCCTTGCCTCCCTCCCCTCAAGCCGCCCCCCAGCCCGAATCCTTCCCCGAATAATACCTAGATCTCAAATGTCACCACACCACCTCACTCCCGTGAACATTGAAATTGACCAGGGAAAACCAGTGGGTTGAGCAATCAGAAGCCCGCCGCAACGAGCGCCGCGATCGAGGGGAGGACGTTCCCGACGATGAGATGCTCCCGTTCGGGCGTTCAGACTACGGCCGTGAGTTCAATATGGTGAAGGTTCTCAAGACTTTGAACGAGCAGGAGCTTTACGGGCGAGTTACGTGCTCGATATGCTCGGATATCCCAATCGATCCTACGCAGACTGATGTAAGTGCCCTGGGATTGTGGTGACATTTGATCGCCCCCCCCCCCCCCCCCACCTCCCTGCCGCGGGTTCAGCCTCCCTCACCGACGCCAAAAATTCGGCATGAGCGAGGCGCTCGTGTAGAGCCAGCTAGCGGGTAGAAAGGCTTTTGAGAGTATCCAGACTAAATGGTGACATAGTGCGGCCACATCTTTTGCAAAGACTGCCTCGACTCCTTCTGCCACCAGCTCGTCGCCGGTGAGCAAGAGTTCATGACCTGCCCCGAGTGCAACCGCGTCTTCCAACGCACAACGCCAGTTCAGCAGCCCCCAGATGATTTCGATGATGGTGGTTTTTCCGGTATATCATTTCTCCCTGTGTGGCCACTTTTATATTTCACGTTTGCTTTTTTCCCTCCTATATTTTTCTCGCTTATCCGTTTTGTTTACTTTCCCCCTCGCTTCACTCGCATTATTTGCTTCCCCTCGCTTAGTACGCATACCCTGCTAGAATCACCATGCAAGCTAACACTCGCCCGCAGGCTCCGGCTCGCGCGGGAACGGTAACGGCAAAGATAAAGGCAAGTGGAAGGAAAACTCGACGAGCAAAGGCCGCGACTTGCTCGGCTTCGAGCCTTGCACCAAGGACTCGAGCTGGGTTACGAAGAGCGATACCGATCCGGATTTCCCCCTGACGGCGAGTAGTAAGACGACGGCGCTGAAGGCTTTGTTGTTGAAGGGGTTTGAGGAGGCACCGCTGGACAAGGTATGGTTTTTTTTAACCTCCCTCTGCTCCGGAAAGCAAGAATCTGGAACATCCAATTTTTCCGGGAACCTCTTGGAAACATTGGAGATTGTGTGCTTTTTGGGTGCGGATGCCGTGCTGATGTGCGAGCAAAAACAGGTGGTCATCTACGTCCAATTCCGCACCCTCGCCCGCATCGTCGGCCGCATCTGCCAATCTGAAGGCTGGGGCTTTCTCTACCTCACGGGTGATTCGTCGCTCGAGCACAGAACCAAAGCCATCAAGCACTTTCGCGAGGATGACGAGGCGAAGATCTTGATTGCCGGATTGAAGTGTGGTGGTCTCGGGTAAGCCTT